CAAGTAATATATTAATTTTTTTATTGTTAACATTAAAATACTTTTGTTATTTTAGTGATTGAATTAAGGTATATATACTATTGGGTTGTTAGAAAAGTCATGATACATCTTTTCTATGTTTTCCTAAGGTTATTTATTTATATAAAGAACAAAGTTCACTCAATAATGTATTGCCCATTTTGCTTAATCATCTTTTGCCGTCTTTCAGTGTGCTTCATAATTTCTCATTCATAGAAGGATCTGTTTTTGTCGGTGAAAAACTGAACAAGGTGCTGATTTACAACCTCATCTGAATTGAATGTTATACCATATTTGAAGAAAGTGAAACAGGGCACATGCATTTGCCAGAAAGATAGATACAGACAGAGAGACAGAAAGCAAGAAATCACTCCTCAGAGGGGATAGCCATGCTGCAATCCCTTCTTCTCCATTCTCCTCTTGGGATCCTGGGCACGCACGCACATGCGCCTGGCATAAGTTTAAGTCACCAGGTCTGGGATTCTAACTGCGATCGACAACAGGGGAGTCCAGTGACATAGCCATTACGCCAACTGCTGGTCCCCAAGCTCCAATAATTTTGACAGGTGATCGAACCTGTGTATTGTCTTGCATTGTCGTGATAGAACAATCAATGAACTCTGGACATTTCTGGATAATGGATTCATTTAAACCATCCAATTGCTGACAGTGTACATTTGAATAGATTGTTTGGTTCCTTGGTAGGAGCTCAAAAAACATGACACATTTAAAACCCCACACACTGAGAGCATAAATTTTCTCTGATGAATGTCCACTTTTGATGTCGTCTGGGGTGAATCATCAAGTCAGGACCAAGACTGCTCACCACATTGCTGTAAACAAATCCACTTCTCACCAGGTTATCAGTAGCTTCTAGAAAGGATCATTGTTCTCACACATAATGAGCATATGTCCGATGTTTACATGCACCATCACATGAACTTCTTTGAATTCATGAGGAACCCAAATATCAAGCTTGCTTATGTATCCCAGTTTCTTCAGGTGACAGTGAACGCTTGAATAATGGACGTTCAATGTTTCAATGGGTTGGAGCCTCCCTGACTGAGGAGCATCGAGATCAAAACCACCAGCATAGAATTTCATGAGCCAGTGTTGGCAAAGACCTTCTTGTAAAGCATTATCACTGCAAACTTCATGAAACATTTCACAAGCTTGTCATGCATTCTTTCCTTTACGGAAGTAAAACAATAAAATATGGTGAAAATGTACAGTTTGGTTTTCCATCTTCAACTTGTAAAATCTTCAAAATTCAACCAAATCACTTAAGTTTTTTTTTCAAGCTAGAACTGTCAGCTGTCAAATGACATAGCAATAACATAGAGGCAAATGACTCTAGTACTTCCAAAAATGAACTAGCACCATCTGTTGCAAAAATGTGTCATGAGTTTTCCAACAACTCAATATACATCTTTAACATATAATAGTAATAGCATATTCAAGTAATGTTATAGAACTTCTCATGTAGTATAAGAACCTTACATATTGTACTTGCATTTCTTCCTTCCTGGATTTTACGTTATCATATATTTTACACAAACATACACACACACACACATATTTTACATACATATACACTACACACACACACAAATATTTTACATACATACACACACACACACACACACACATATATATATATACATATATACTACCTTACTTGTTTTTATCAATTCTTTTTGAAACAGCTTTAAATACTAAGAAGAAAGCCTTATATATGTGCTCATGTATCAACAGTTACCATTCCTTGTGTTATTTTTTTCATGTAGATTCAGACTTCCACTTCATGAAATTTTCTTCTGCTTGGAAGATGTTCTTTAAATGTTTTTTATAGTATAGTTAGGTTGGTAATTTCTTTTTTCAGATTCTGTATACCTTTAAAAAAATCTTTATTTTGCCTTTCTTTTTCAAAGACATTTGTAGTAGTACAGAATTATAGCTATTTATGATTTAGCTATTTATGATTGGTTTTTCTTTCGAAACTTTAAAAGATGTTGCTCTACCATCTTCTTGTATCTCTTGTTACCAACAAGAAATTTGCTATACTTTCTACCTCTGTCCCTTGGCAGGGTACATGTTTTACCCCCTCTGGCAAGGATTTCTCTTTATTACTGTTTTTGAGTAATTTAATTATGAGAAACCTTAGTATATTCTTCTTTATGTATCTTCTGCTCAGGGTTCCTTGAGTTATATGGATCTGTGAGTTTTTAACTTTCCTCAAAGTTTGAACATTTTTTTGTAGTCATTATGTCTTTAAATATTTTTCCTGACTCCCCCATCCTCTACTTTTCCAGTTGCACATATATTAGAAAGCTTATAATTGCCCTACAGTTCAATGATTCTCTGTTCATTTGTAAAATTTTTTTTTCTGTGTTTCATTTTTGTGGTGGTCATGTTCAAGTTCATTAATCCTTCTTTATGCTGTATTTAGTCTGCCTTAATCCCCTCTAAGATAATTTTTCATCTCTGGGATTGTAGTTTTCATCTCTAGACATTTAACTTCATTCAAAAAAATGTTTTCCATGTCCCTACTTAACTTTTCAACATATAAAATACAGTCATAATGACTGTTTTAAAGTGACAATTTTTTTTAAATTTTGTCAGAGGGTATGTGCACAATAGGTTACAAAAACTATTTAAAACTCAAGGAGAAAGAGATGCACAAAGAGAGGGAGAAAGCATCCCACAATGGGGTGTGTTTAAGTGGAAATCCCTTCTCTATTTGGGGCATTCATGCACACATGTCCAGTGAGTTTTTCAAGCAGTTGAGTCTGGGATTCAAACCATGCAGCTGGCCATATGAGATCAAGCTCCCTTAATCAAAAGGTCATGGGGCTGGCCCAACAGAGTGATAATTCTAACATTTGTGTCAGTACTTAGATGTGCTTCAGTCAATTGATTTCTTTTTTCCTTCTTACGAGTTGTATTTTCCTACTTCTTTTTATGTCTGGTAATTAGATTCTAGATATTGTGGATTTTGTTGGTACTGGATATTTTAAAATATTTATACATATTCTTGGGCTTTCACATGGGATACAGTTGATAAAAATAGTTTGATCATTTTAGATCTTGTCTTTAAGATTCGTTGCGCAATACCAGAGCAAGATACCACCTAGAGCTAACCATTCTCCACCATTTAGGTATTACCCTTCAGAATGTCTACCCAATGCTTCATGAATCATGAAATTTTATTGTCTATGAAAGGCACATCAAGTCTACCTTTCTTTTGAATATCTGGCCTATGTACACCTTTCTAGCATATACTATCCTTGCTCTAAATTAAAATCAACAGACATCTTAAAATTCCTACTCTGTGCCAGGCTTGGTTTTACCATCAGGACTGGTCACTGGATAACTCCTTTGGAACACAAGCAGCAACCCCAGAGTAGCCTGAGAATGAACCCTCATAGTATTCAGTTATGGTACACTATGCTCGCCCTCTTTACAAATATCTCCCCCATCTTTTGCCATCACATTCATAGTACATTCCATCTTATACTCTGAGAACAAATGGAGGCAAAATGGGACAAATTGAGAATAGTGTGGGAAGTTAGCTCATTGTATTCACTGCTTGCTTCTACTAGAGAGCCTTTAATAACAATGACTACTCACATTAGTATAATTAATATTTATTGAGCTCCTACTATATAACAGACAACATACTGAATGTTAGTATTAATAGTATATTGGTAGGGGCTGGCAGGTGGCATGGTGGTTAAGAGCACTGGACTCCCAACTGTGGTTCAAATCCCGGACCTGGCGGCTTGCTCTCTCACTTTCTCTCACTCTGTCCCTCTCTGGTCAAATGAAAATAAAGTTAAATAAAATACTTCTTTAAAAAATAGTATATTGGTAGTATAAGGGCTAACAGCCTTTGTTCTTGAGGAAGTCACAGTCCAGCCAGGGGAGCCAGACAAGCAAATAAACAATGACAACATGTAATAGATGTTAATGTAAAGGAATGCATAAGGCAATATCTAATTTCTTGAGAAGCCATAAAGTCTTTGACAGAACCAGTATTTATTCTTCACAGTTCCTAACAACATAACTTGTAGGTAGTGAATACTCAATAGCCTCACAAAGGCTTAGATTCTCTTCTTAGCTGTCTTTAAAGGTATGTGCCCTGGGACAGTCATCTCGCTTTCTAAGCCTAAGTTTCCACAACTGTAAGGTATAACATAATATCTGTCCTGCCCACCTCACTGGGTTATTGTACAAACTAATGGTCACTAGAGTGATTTTTTTAATTGTAAAGATATCTACAGAACAAATTACAAAATCATGTTACTTTGCTTTTTTTTTTCCCTTTACATAAATTAATCCATTTACTGCAGGCCATTAATATCCCAAATGTCTGTGAAGCCTCTACTGGTCTTTCAACTCCTTCAGTTTTACAACGAAAGCCTTCACTGCGACAGGTGCAGTGGTGGTGTAGGTTCAAGCACCACAAACTACCATTTTCATGCAGGAACCACAACGACAGTTCCTACAGCTCCTCTCTTTATCTTGGTTTCACTACAGAAAGAGCAAGTACTCGGCCAGCTGGTTGATTACCATTTTCTTCACCATTTTCCGTAAGGTATGCACCGCGGCCGGCGAGTCCGTATTTACTAGGATTCCGACCTTCTCGGTGCGTTTGGCCAGGTCGACACGAAAGAGGTCCGAGTCCAGAGAACCGTTATATTCTTAAAGAGTTCTTAAATTTCTAAAATTAAAGCAGTAAGGCGCCAAGTAATTTGTCCAAGAGCATCACCTCTTATAAGCCCAGGACTAGATCACTCACTTTCAAAGGCCTTTCCAAGTCAAATTCAAACGGACCTCGCCCCAGGCCTCTGCGGAAGCCTCTCCTACAAGCCCCGCCTCCCGGGCACCGGAGGGCTTGGAGAAGTTGCAACTCCGCCCAATGACGCATCAGCCCCGCCCCGGGCCCTCCACTTCTCGCGAGACTTCTCGGGAGGACTGAGGAGGTCAAGTTCCATCATGGCGGCTGAGGAAGCGGATGTGGATATCGAAGGAGACGTGGTGTTGGCGGCGGCGGCGGTGGCACCGCACAGCGGGTGAGGCGTAGTGACCAAGTCTCTCCGAGGCAGGGAGGGGCACGGATGCGAGGAGAGGGCCCTGGTCTAGCAAGCGACAGAGGAGTACAAGACTTTTCACGGGGCCGGGGTCCTGTCGGTCTGGGAGGCGCCCTGTCCGACCCGCCCTTTTGCTTGTCCTGAGCCCAAGCCCAATGGACGTGTACCTGGGGCGCAGGTACTCTAGAGCCAGGAGACTCTTTCTCTAGGATGCTAGAAGGCCGCCGGTTTCGCCTATCCCGTTGCACTTCCACCAACAATATAATCCTCCTTCCATTGCCTCCGCTCAGAATCACCCCAGCATGTACCTGTCAAGCTACTGGACGGGACCTGAATTCAGGGACCCTTTTTCCATCCCTCGCAAGCCCTTTGACCTTGTGCTAGTCGTTTCGTCTCGTGCACAAACGGATAATTTTGAAAAACTTTCTCTGAGAGTCAGTTTGACGTAAGGGGAAGGGACCGGCTTTTGGAATTGGAGAGTTCTGGGTTTTTCTTCAGTGTTTGCTGGCCCTGCCAGTGTGACCTTGGACAAGACTCCTAACTTGTCTGAGTCTCAGACTGCTTGTGTGTAACCTCAGAGTCATGATATCTTTTAAGGTTGTAGGGAGCAAATGAAATAATTATGGGATATACTTTAGCATATATTAAGTGCTCTGTAAATGAAGCTTATAACTGAACTATTTCGTTAGACTCTTTTGGGCTAAAGCATATGAAATTGCCAATATTTGACCATTTCTGACCTATAAAATAGCAATCCCATGAGATTCAACCCCAATGTTAGGGCCGCTGTGAACTGAGGAGAAGCACCAACCCTGCCATTAATAAGCACCAAGATAGTATGCTTAAAAATTAAAACTGCCTTGTAAAGCATTATAAAAATGTGAAGGGTCATTGAATTCATATAGTTATTCTCCCTTAAATCTTTAGGCGAAGTAGTCCAAAGTAGAGAGCCTTTAATAACGATAACTACTTACATTAGTATAACGTTTAAATACAGACCAAGTGCTTTTGCATGGTTTATTTATTTTTCACAGCAAGTCAATGAGATAGGTGGACAGGTGTACTTATTAGCAGTCCATAAAGTAATCAGTTGGCCTTGGAAATACTCTACTGAATATGCTAAAGGGCATTGGTTTTGTGCCTCTTTTATAGTTTTACTTTTTCTGATTGTGTTTATTTTTTTCTCCCATTTTCTTTCTTATTTCGCTTAATCTTTTGGTCTACTGTTGGTACTTGTGGTCATCTTAGTCTCATACAAGCAGGATTCCAAAGGTTATTGGTTCTTGATGGCCAGTCATTGCCTTACACTACTCCGTAGCAGCGTTAGCATTAAATGCTAGTAAATGGTGCCTCGTAGTGTGGGGGCTCCAATCTTAGGGAATTTATTGTGAAAGGTACTCCCCTGAAGTGTGTAGTTACAGTTGATGGTAGCATTTGTGGAACCCTTGAAGATTAATTAAAAAGATGTATTTTTTTAAATTTTTGCTATAGAGTGTGTGCATTCTCCAGAGGGAGACAGAGAGTCAATGAGAAATCACCCACCCCACCCCCCCAGGGGGGGGCTTGGCCACACTACAATCCCTTCTTCATTCTCCTCTCAGGCCATGGGGAATCCAATGCCTTAACCTCCACACCACTTTTTTTTCTTTTTTTTTTTTACATTTTTTTCTTTCAATATTTTATTTTTAAATTTTTTAAAATTAATTTACAGTCATTCACTGAGCATTGTCACAGCATACAAAATGTGATTTCCCATCCAGAATATGCTGTATAGTGACTTAATCATACATGTTATTGTCAATAATTTTCCATTTCTAGTTTCATATATATGTGCGTATATATATATTTTTTTGTCCAGCTATTTCTCACTCTCTGCCATTTCCCACCCTCCTCCCACACTATCTCAGGTGTCCACAGTTTTTATTCCTTTTTCCCCCCACATTTTATTGTTTCACAAAATTTCTTAAATAATCTACTTATTTTCAATAGCACTTTCAGTTTGAACCATATGAAATTTTGCCAATTTTCAATCACTTTTGACCTGTCTACAAAATGAGTTTCCAAAATTTAACCTAAATAATGCTAACTTCTCCAAATCTGTCACCAGCTCAAATATTCCTTTGTGTGCTTGAGATCCATTTATCCAGCTTTCTGAATCTGTCTGTATGCTTGGATGTCCCACAAGGACCTCATTCTCAGCTTACAAACTTTCGCCACCAAACCTGCCTCTCCAGTGTTTCCTAGTGGAATGAATGGCACTGACATTCTCCCAGTCACCTAAAGCACAGACCTCAACTTCATCCCTTTTCCTTACCTCCCTCATTCCACTGCCCCCATTTTATCATTTAAGGGCCTGTTGATTCTGTGTAAATATTCTCTCAAGTGTATTCATTTCTTCCTGTTGACAGTGCTCGTTTCCTAAGTGTAAGTTACTATCACATTTCTCTAGTATGTTGATAGTCACTCCCTCATTGCTGCTGCTTGTCTCCTTTGCCCTCTTCTGTTCTTCCCTGAAGTTAGAATAGACTTTAGATAGGGAACTATCTCCATTTACTGAGATAGGGAACAATGAAAGAGTAGCAGATTTGGGAAGAAAGGGGATATCAGGATTATATACTAATTTGTGGTACCTCTTTACAAGATTCACATAGGTACTGAGAGGAGAACACGAGAGTGTGGATGTTGCTATCATTGTAGAATACAAAAACGTGAAAAGATGTCTGCAGTGAACTTGAGGTGACAGTAGTTCCCCTTCCTGTATCTGTGGCAGACCTAGTTTTTTAACAGTTTCCCTTTTGCTGACGCAAGTCTCTGGATCCTTTATTCTTGGTATCCTCTTCCAGATCAGAGTTGACAGTTACTGAGTTTAAATGTGTTTGCCTCAACAATTGAGAGAAATTATTGCTTTTAGTTTGTTGTAGAGAATAGTCCATTAGTCCCACAGCTTATTGCAATCATTTCATTAATTAAAGATTCAGATGTATAAACCTATTGATAGATTTTGCAGTCTTAAAGGGACAAATTCTTACCACTGGGTTAGGTCTGGGGAAAGGTCACTTAACTGAAAAACTTTATAACTTCAAAAGCAAAATATTACATTTATTCATATCATGGATTGACCCTTTCCAAAGCTTAACTATTCAACCTTTTTGCACATGAAGTGAATGAACACCGTGATTTTAGAGAACTCATGTTAGGTCAGTGAAAGGAGTGAGAGAATTAACAAATTTGATCCCTCATGGACTCAGAAAATCTCCCAGATAAGCTACTGATACATTTTCTTAATTGCGTTATTAAAATATAACATTAAAAAAATCTCTTCACTGTACTGTCCTTCTGTTTTGGTTCTTCTATTTAGTTATTTCGGTTTGAGAGTGTTGCTGTTGATGGTATTTTTCGTGGTTTAGACATAGCTAAAAGACTTAATTGCAAAGTTGAATTCCTCTATATACTTTTATACGTTTTATATAATCAGCAGAAACCAAAGTCTTGGTCCATGGTCACAGAGCATTCTGTGGTTGTTGCTTTGAGGGTATTTTTTCCCTTATGAAGTTTTTTATTATTCAGAAATAAAAGAAGTTAGCAGTCAGACTCGATGTTTAGCAATTGAGATAGAGTAGTTATAAGCCTCTCTTTATTTTATAGGCCAAGGAGGTAGAGCAGGCATTTCTGCAGTGTTGAATCTGTTTGTTAAGGGGAGAATTGTAAACTAAATATTTGTTTAATACCTATAGCCTACCAGTAACTGTACTATATAGATTACATCCACTAAACGTTATAACAGCTTTTATACCTATTTTCTTAATTATTGTAGAAGCAATGAAAATACAGCATCAGTTTTACACCAAGATCACTATCTTGATTCATCTTGGAGAACTGAGAATGGCCTTATTGTAAGTATTTTATGAAAATATCAAATGCATTAGCTGTTTTCTCTTTGCTCCAGAGTTAATTTCTTCATGTAGCAGTTGTTTATTGAGTAGTTACTGTGTGCTGGACACTAGTCCAGGTTTGGAGAATGCACCTAGCCCAAGTGTATAATCAAGATAGACATGAGCCTGTTTTCAAGGATTTTATCATCTAAAGGGAAGCTGGGTGATATACAAGTATACTAACTAATTAGATTTTAAAAGAAATAAACAAGATATTGACTGAGAATACCAGGGTCAAGTTTCAGTGAGGGAAATTCTGAGAAAATGAATTTAAGTTGAAAAGTAGTGGATAGAAAGGGTAGATAATGTGCAAAGTTCTGGGGGGGTAAATTCTAAGCAGTAGTAATAGCAAGTGCAAAACTGGTTGAAAGCCAGTGTCAAGAATATAGTGAGTAAAGGGGGAATGGCAGCATGTCACAAGGTTGGAGAGCCAGACCAGGATGCATTATTCTAAAGGGCTTAAATTTTATTGTAAGTGAACTGAGAAATAATTGAAATATTTCATACAGATTGTGTGCAGGGGAAAATGAATATTTCATATAGATTTATATGGGGGAGGGAATGAATCTTTATACCAATTTTGGGAACTGTAGTGAAGATCAGATTGGAGGGAAGAAAGAGTGGAATTAATCTTGAAATGGTTATGATAATGAAATCAAGATTTGAAGATGATGAGTTGGTCTGAACAGAACAGATTCAAGTGAATAGATTTAAATTATATTTTGAAGGTAGAATTGTTCAGGAGATTGGATAGGGGTTGAGGGAACAGGTAAGAATCCACAATTATTGATGGGTTTGTAGATGGGCTAGTAGAGTAACTCTTACCAAGTTAGGAATGCAGGGGAAGAAGGAGGTAAAGACGTGTATTGGTGAGTTCTTTTTTGAACATACTAAGTTGAGAAGCCAATTAAATATCCAAGAGGAAATCTTGAGTAGGCGATTAAATATAATGATCTAGAGCAGCAGTCCTCAGACTTTTTGGCTTCAGAAACTGGTTTTGTAGAAGACAGTTTTTCCATGGATGGGGCTGCAGGGGTTGGAAATGGTTATGAGATGATTGAAGCACATTACATTTATTGTGCACTTGTATTTCTTTATTCCTATTATTACATTGGAATATGTAATAACATACAACTCTCCATAATGAAGTATTTGCTCCTACTCCCCCAGCACTGACATCACTGCCTCACTTCCACCTCAGATCATTAGGCATTAGATTCTCAAAAGGAACATGCAATCTAGATCTCTTGCATGTGCAGTTCACAATAGGGTTTGTGCTTCTATGGGAATCTGTTGCCTCCACTGATCTGACAGGAAGCAGAGCTGAGGCGGGAATGTGAGTGATGGAGAGTGGCTATAGCGATGAAGCTGCACTCACTTGTCCCCACTCACCAGCTGTGCAGCCCAGTTCCTAACAGGCCATGAACTGGTACTGGTCCAAGGCCCAGTGGTTGAGGACCCCTGGTCTAGAACTTGCAGATATGAGCTGAACATTTTAAAACTTTGAGAGTTGAAAATGAGTATGATCATCCCAAGAGTTGTGGCTAAGGAATAAAAGAGAATTATATTGAGTTATCAGAAAAGTCATGATGCATTTTTACATAGAAAAACAGAAAAATATGTCTTGACTTTTTCAACAAGCCAATAGTAAGTTCTGAAAATAGATTAAGTATCTTGCAAAATGCAAGATATCTAATAAATAATTCCTTGTGCATGAAACTGTTTTATGCTTCATAATGGGTAGAAACATGAACCTTGAAATCCAACAGACTTGAGAGTAGGGTCTTTCTCCTCCTTTAAAATGCTATCAGTGCTATGGTTTCATCTGTGAGGTATTTATGCCTATCATATTTTGTAGTTGTCAGAAAAGTCATGATGCATTTTTGCATTAAAAAAATAGAAAAATATGTCATAACTTTTCTGACAACCTAGTATGTTGGGTATAATGTTATGATGTCTGTATAATCAGTAAGTGGTAACTTATTTGTAATCATCATATCATTAAGTATTTTTATTTAGCAAATCATAGAATAGCAAAAAGCAGTAAATAAAAAGAAATATATTTTTCTCTTTTTTAATAGCCGTGGACTCTGGATAACACTATCAGCGAAGAGAACAGAGCTGTCATTGAGAAAATGTTGTTGGAAGAAGAGTATCCTTTAATGATCATGAGGAAAGTAAAGGTTTCAGGGTTAAAAACCTCTGAATTCAGGGCTGGATGGTGGTGTAATGGTAAAGCATAATGCTCTGTGAAGCAAACGCACATGGGAACATTCCTGGTTTAAAATACATGTAATTATATCATGGATTGGGCCCTCCAGAACTTAAACTTCTTTGCACATGAAGTATTCATGGAGAGAGAGAGTGAAATTGAGATCCCAGGGGAGATGCCAACTCCTCAATCCTTCTCTTCTATTAGTCTCTTGGGATTTTGGATGCACATACACGTGCCTCTTGTGTTTTTCAAACTGCCAGGTCTGGGACTTGAACCACATGGTCAGCCTTGTGGGATCCAGCATCTTAACTAACTCCATGCCTCCTGCTGTCCACTCATCAGCTTTTTTACTGCTGAGTTGTCTTCCGACTCTTCATGATATCTGAATATTGAGTAAAAATTAAAGAACATGTAAGTCAGAACCTTTAACCAGGTTTTCATTTTCAAAATTATGTAAGATAAAACCTAGAGATGTTAATCTTTCCAAAGACATAGAATTAGATGTGAAAATTCTTCTCACTTCTTACTCTACTAGTTTATAGGTATTATGGGGGAGGAATCTAAGTAAAATAATCAGAAAATACACACTATATGATGCAGATTTTATTTTTCCCCTTCAGAAGTTTTGGAGCGAGCCTAATCCATGATTCGTCCACTGGCTTCTTATTTCTTTTATTTCTGTGTGATGCTGGTGATTTAGCTTCTTGGGGACTTAATTTTCTTACATGTAACTTGAGAAAATTGAAGAAAATGGTTTCTGATGTTACAAGTTCAAATATTGCTAGTAATAGTCTAATAAGTTTGTGTTTTTCCCCCTCTTTTTAAGTTTTTGCCACTGGGTGCAAGTGCTCACCAGAGAGGAGAGAGATGGAGAGAGACAGTGAGAAGGAAAGTGAGAAATCACCCCCAGGGGACATGGCCATACCACAATCCCTTCTCTGTTCTCCTCCTGGGATTTTGGGCATGAGTACACATGCACTCAGTGTGATTTTCAAGCCTCCAGGTCTGGGACTCTAACCATAGTCATCCATGTGAAAGTCCAGCACCGTAACCACTGTACACCTGCTGGACCCAGTACTGGTTTTATTTTTTAATTAGATGAATTTCTTGGATTTCTATCTACTTTTGCAGTCAGAATTTCTTTTTTACCTCTGTTCCTAGTTATTGTTATGTTGGTTTTAGACTAGTGTCTCTATACCTTTAATTTTCATAGGTTATAATCATTTTAAACTTTCTTATTCTCTAATTCTTCTAAAACATTGCAGTTATAGCCTACATCATTGCTTTTCAATGAGAGTCACATATATTATAATTTAAAATTTTCCGGTAGCTTCATTTAAAGCTAACACAGGAGAATCAACTTTAATAATATTTTATTTAACCCAGTATTTAAAATATTGCCATTTTAATAAACTATTAATGAGATATTTTACATTCTTTGTTTTGTACTAAGTCTTTGAAATTCAATGTATAGTTTATACTTAAAGTACATCTCAGTTTGTATTAGCTATGTTTAAGTTCTCCAAAGTCATGCATGTGGCTATTGTCCCCTGTATTTATCAGTAAGTTGTAGACTAATGAACACTTCCATATTTGGAAATGAAAATAATGAGAATAATAGTTACACATAAGCATTTAGAGGACAAGGATAATATTTTCTTATATCTTTTTCTTTTTTATGCAGACGGTATGTGATGGGGATGTGAATGGAGAGAAAAAATACCTTCCTAACAATGCCTAGTCACACCACAGTCCTTTTTCCTCTAGTTATCCATTTCTCAGGATCCTGGGCATATATCATGTGCCCTGCATATATTTCAAGGCTATGGGGCATGAACTCAAAAGCTGTTTGGCTGTGGTTTCTGGCTTCCCCTGCCCAGTACCTAACTACCATGTTTTACATTTTTGTCCTCGGCACCTGGTACCCAGCATAGTGCCTGACATATGGTATAGTCAATAAATATTAGTTAAGACTATTTGAGACTAACAGTATTGCAGTAGGCTAGTTTCAAAAACTTTGAAAGGGAGACTCCATGGTAGGTTTGATTCAGGCGTTATTTTCATTTGGGTAGACAAGAAACTTGAACTCCTTTCTGTTATCTTAGAAATGTAGAAATAAGTATTCCCAGTAATATTGAGGATATATCTTCTCTTAACCACTTATAATATAGAAGATACAAGAATCTATCCTTTATGTGGCATGCATTTTGTATAAGTGCTATGTCATTGTATGATTTCACATGTAATTAACCTATATAACTACCCAATGAGACAATTATTTTTTTTAGAGAGGTTTTTGCTATAGGGCTCGTGTGCTCGCCAGAGAGACAGAGAGACAGAAAGCGAGAAATCACCTCCCAGGGGGGCTGGCCACGCCGCAGTCCCTTCCCCTCCGTTCTCCTCTCGGGATTTTGGGCACGCACGCACACGCGCCCGGTGTGAGTTTTAAGCCACCATGTCCGGGACACGAACCGCAGTTGACTACATGGGAGTCCAGCAACATAGCCATTACACTAACTGCTGGTCCCAGATGAGACAGTTTTATTGTAATTTTTGCAGACCTTGAAAGAGCGTGACTTTCATAAATCTGAGAGTGCCTATATGTCGTGTAAAAATTATGACTTTAATAATTGCTCAAAAATTTTCTTAATAATTACACAGATACTATTTATCTAAAAAACCACTTCCAGAAAAATTCTGGCTTGACCAAAAAGAAGATGATAAAAAATACATGAAGAGGTAAAATCAATTTATAATACTTTTAAAAGTCTGAATTGCATTTTTAGAAACTTCACAAGCTTCCTTATTTTCTTTTTTCATGTGGTGAAGTCTGCAGAAAACAACAAAAATCATGTATGTATTTATGCTTTATATTTTTAAAATCTTTTTTGATTAATTAAAACTTGTGGGAAAACTTTTTAAAAATTTCAGTTCACTGCCCTCCTGACTTTGGATTATAGAAAAACATAAATATAAAAAATGTTTTTTGGGGTCCAGCAGGTGGCATGGTGGTTGGGCTGTTGGACTCTGACATGGGTGGCCATGGTTCAAGTTATGGACCTGGTGGCTTGCTTTCTCACTTTCCTTCTCTCTCTCTCTGTCTCTCTCTGGTCAAATTAAAATAATAATAATAAAATTAAATAAATAGCTTTTCAAAACAAGTTTTTTTTGTATAGATGTTAGAATGCCACAAGTATAATTTTATGACATTATTTTTTTTGCCATAATTTCTTTTATGGCTCAGAATAGAGTTTTATCAGATTATAGAAAAGATGGTTTCCTGGAGGTTTATGGGAAAATTTTAAGATGCTCCTAGGAATTGACTTGATTTCTATTGTTCTTTCAATTGATTTTCAGTTATTTTCAACAAAACTTTAATTTGGATTTGTGGCTTTCAAAAATTATTTAGAGAAATTAACTTTTATAGGTATCCTTTTCTTATAGTTGAAAAAAATTTACCTTATTTAGCATTTATAAACTTACAAATTTATGATCTCTTAAGGATAAATTTATGTATTTGCAATTTTTCAAGAACTGAATTTTGAGGCAGCTATTGGCTTTTCTATTGGCTGTATGAACAATGACAAAAACAGAATGGAAATACTAATGGCTTGCCTAAACTAGTGCACTTCATCACTTTTATTTTTAATTTCTTAATATAGTGAATTTTAAAATCAATAAATGATCTTTCTGGCTTAATACATACATGTGTTTAAACAGAAGCACCAGAGATAGTTATTTGAACTCTTACATGCATTTTAGGATTTGGAAGCTTGCTGCTTTTGTATTCAGTCTAAGAAAGTCTATTTGTTACCACGTTGACTTCCTTTGATGTTTTTTAGTGTGATCCTCACTCAGACTTGAGGATTATGTCTTTTGGGGCTCTTATCATCATCCGGAGCTAGAGATTGGTGATAGGATAAATCCCCCCTCCCCCCCATGTAGAGGCTGCATCCTTCTTTTAAACAAAAAAAAAAAAACATCAACTCAAAGTATTGAACTTAGCCCATGGCTATCTATAACCTTTAGCTGCATAAATATGGAATGTTCCATTTCAGAAAATTTTTTTGCAATTCCTTTTTTTCCCCTCAGGATACACTCTCCTACAAAACCAGCCAGTTACTCAGTAAAGTGGACGGTAGAAGAAAAAGAGCTGTTTGAACAAGGGCTGGTAAATAGAGCAATTTTTAATTTATAGTAAAATAACTCTAGAAGCAAGTGTGTGATACAGTTGTAAGGTTAAATTAATTTGTAGAGACTGGCATTTTCTTTTTAATTATAGTCGTAATACTTTTAGTTTTCCTATTGAGTAATGATGTTTGTAGTGTAGTATAATGGAACTCCTTTTAACTTTCATCTAAGGTATTAAAATACTAAATAGATTTGGATTATATTTTGGATGCTTTTCACACTTTTTTCTTTTAGTATTCATAAAATCCAGGAAACTGAGCTATGCTGTATCTATAACCCAACTACCTGGATTAACAGGCAAACTTATTTAGTTGTCTGATGTTTTCTCTCCAAAAAACAAACAAACCGTTTGTGTATTTTGATAGTGGGTGAATAGTTAAGTTCTTTCTTATTCAGATATTTGGGATTGTGTACACAGTCTAATCATTTCAGTAGCTATAATTGAAGACCAGAATCATTTCTTTTGCATGGATGTTTCACTGAGTTCTATTTAAGTGTCCACAAATTACATAATGGAAAAAAATATTATTTGCCGGTTTCTAATTCTGAAAATATTTCTTAATATGAAAAAAAATTCAGGTTTTTGTTTTGTTTTGTTTTAACATTGAAAGTAGATTATATTAGTTCCTTTAAGGGTATATGTTACTAATATTGTACTGTTAATGTTGAAATTATATATATGTTCCATATATAGGATATAACATTTTTGTAAGATTCATGAGTATTAACTGAAATATTGTTAACATTTCTACAGATGATGACAAATAAAACCTTTTTTTTCCTAGTTAGTCATCCCTGATATGTCTGTACTTTGTGATATTTTTATTTAAACATACAAACTATTTCAACATTTTTATCTTTTGAGTTTTAACCTATACAGCAGATGATGTTTTTTTTTATATTGGTATTTCAGTATATTGTATGAGTATTATCTATATAACCTAATTATAGTCGATTAGTCATCAGTATTTAAGATTGCTGGCAACTTTGGTGTTTTGGCCCTTATCAAAGACTAGATATGGGGACCAGCAGATGGTGTAGCAATAATGTCACTGGACTCCCACATGGCCAACTATGGTTCAAGTCCTGGACCCGGTGACCTAAAACTCACACTGGGCGCTTATGCATGCATGCCTAAGATCCTGGGAAGAGAAGGGACTGCGATGTAGCCATCCCCCTCTGGGGATATTTTTTCCTCACTTGCCCTCTCACTGCCTTCTCTGTGTCTCCAGTGAGCACATATGCCCTATAGTAAAACTCTCTTAAAAAAAAAAAAAAAAGACTACCTATGTATATATGCTTACATATGCAAATGGACTGTGAATTTAAGGTTCACAATTAGGTTATTATTTTTCATATTGGTCGTAGTTATAGGGATTACGTTTGCATGGTTTAAAATTCAAAAGGTACCTAAAGTTAAAGAGTGTTAAGTCTCCTCTCTCCTGTCTTAGCCTTCAGTTTTCTCCCTGAGATAACCAATGTTATCTCTTCTTCGTGTATCCTTCCAGAAGTGTTTGTCTATATATACATGAATATATGTTTGTTTATTTAGAAAGATGTAGATATTTATCTAAGTTAAGAGATATTTTAAATTTATAATGTTTTACCACACAAAAAAAAAAACAGAATTATATTTTGTAATCCCAGTCTTGTTGTTTGTTTGTTTTCTGTGTTTCAGTTTTTGCTATAGGGCATGTACACCTGAGAGAGACATAAAGAGAAAGGGAGGAGGAGAGTGAGAAATCACCCCCTGGGGGATGGCCATACCACAGTCCCCTATCCATTCTCCTTATGGTTTGTTTTTTTTTGTTTTTTTTGTTTGTTTGTTTGTGTGTTTGTTTTTGAGAAGGTTTTGCTATAGGGCGCGTGTGCTCGCCAGAAAGGCAGAGAGAGACAGAGAGACAGAAAACGAGAAATCACCCCGCAGTGGGGCTGGCCATGCCGCAGTCCCTTCTCTATTCTCCTCTCGGGATCTTGGGCACACATGCACACGTGCCCGGTGTGAGTTTAAGTCACCGAGTCCAGGACTCGAACCGCTGTCAACTACATGGAAGTCCAGCGACATAGCCCTTATGCTAACTGCTGGTCCCTCCTCATGGGATTTTGAGCATGCATGCACATATGCCCAACATAATTTTCAAGCCACTAGATCCTGGACTTGAGCCAAGCAGTCAGCCATGTGGGACCTAGCTGCCTTAATTACCATGCCACCTGTTGGGCCCAATCCCAGCCTTGTCAACCCGTTGATATGCTCCGTGTACAGGCTGAATTCTTTCTGACTTAAGAGGAGGGTATTAAGTGGTATAAAATGATAAAGGAAGATTTTTTTCCTTTTCTTGCGCATAGTACTATTCCTTCATTCCCTTTTGAAGTTGGTGAGTGTTTACCTTTGGAGTCAATTCATTTTGATATCTCTGTAGAGTAAAATAAAAGGATCTGGTATAGGACATAACATTATAAAATATGAAATCTGGGTAAAAAATGTTGAAATTAATGCAAAACATTTAGTTGCTTCTCTTTTAGGCACTCATTTCTTGTAAAAAAATTATCTTAGATTTGGAACATCATAATATACGTTATAAATTCATACAGTTAAGTAATAGAAATAATTGATTTTGCTTTCTCCCTTTCTCTCTGTGTTGCTGGTGGTCACACATCCCTACTAGCTAAGAAAGAAAAAGAGAAAGGGAGAAACAAAGAGCGAGAGAAAGGAAGAAAGAAAGAAAGAAAGCTAAGAGAGAAAAAAAGAACAAATTGATCTTCCTTTAGATAGATACAAAGAAAAAATAACAAAATGAATTTCTCAGTCATTTTGGTCAGTTTTCAGGTGTTCCAAGTACCAAAAGAAAAATGTACACTTTGAGTTTTAAGAGCATAGTCACTTCATAATGTGCTTTAGAAAATAAATAGGAATGAGTTGTTCTTTTAGTTTTGATTATTATTGTAGCAGTAACTTGGAATGTTAATAAGTAAGTTAATGAAGAGCCATTTTTTTTTTCATTTGATAACACAGGCTAAATTTGGCCGAAGGTGGACCAAAATTGCAAAGCTGATTGGAAGTCGCACAGTTTTACAAGTGAAGAGTTACGCTAGACAGTACTTTAAAAATAAGGTAAGTAGGATATAAATACCTTAGTTAATAATAAAAAAAAATTAGTAAGCATAAATAGTTTTTTAAATTCATTCATTAAAGTCTTATTGCTAAAAGTTTTTATAGAGAAATTATTTTATACTTATAAAATACTATACATCTGTTTACCTTTAAAAACTAAAGAGCATTTCAGCTTTGAATGTTGCTATTAAATAGGTAGGTATCATATTAGTCCACTTAATTTCATATAGTTAAATAGAATGACAAATAATTATTGCTCAAAAACATCCTGTAAAGCAAATAGTATTCCAGTGAGAAAACCTTGGAGGTCTTATCTTACTGTAAATGATCCTTTCTTTTTTCTTTTCTTTTTTTTTTTTTAAGAGAGATTTTTGTTAGAGAACCTGTGCGCTTGCAGGGAGACAGAGACAGAGAGACAGAAAGTGAGAAATCACCCCTGGAGGGGGATGGCCACGCTGCAAACCCTTCTCCATTCGCCTCTCAGGATTTGGGGCATGTATTTACATGTGCCTGGCAAGTTTTAAAATCACTCGGTCCAGGGCTCAAACAGAAGCCAGCTAAGTGGGAGTCCAGCAATGTAACCATTATACCATCTGCTGGTCCTGATCTTTTATTTTTAAAATATTTGTAGTAGGGAAACTTTTAAAAATTATTAGACCTTAGGCCAGCATTGGCATGGTGGCTAAGGCATTAGACTCCAACATGCCAACTGCAGTTCAAGTCCCAGTCCTGGCAGCTTGCTTTCTCACTTTCCCTTTCTCTCTGTTTCTCTTGAAAATGCATGTGCTCTATAGTCAATTAAATAATAATGATAAATAAATTTTTTTAAAAAAATTAGTCATTAACAAATATGCTAACCTAATTCTGAAATCTGTTTAATAGCAATGACATTTTTACAATTGTAATGAAATATTGTCTGGGGGCTAGCAGGTAGCATAGTGGTTAAGGCACTGAACATGTCAGTTTGAGTCCTGAACCTGGTCAGTTGAGAATTGTGCCAGGTACATGTGTGCATGTACCTAAAATCTAAGGAGGAGAATAGAGAAGGGATTACAACATGACCATCTCCCCTAGAGGATGATTTTTTACTTGCCTTCTCACTGTCTCTTTCTCTGGTGAGCACACATGCCCTATGGCAAAAACCTTTATAAAAATAAAAAGAAGAAAAATATTGCCTGCAAATTGTTGTACGTTACAAGGTTCAGAAAGGTATGGTTATGGTCTAGTTCCTTGATCTTTGAAGTAACTTATGGTATCTTCAGTTGTGTATCTTTGATACTTAAATTTTTAAAATATGAACTCTAGAAATATAAATATACAAAATTTAAAAGTGTTTTAAAGTGAAATTTGATGTTTTCTTTTAATGTAAATCACAGGTTCTACCCTTTATACAAGATTTGTCCAATTTAGTGTTGACTGTGCATAAGTGATAAATAATGAACTGGATTCATCATTTACCAGTGCTTCCTCTTTTAACTGAATCTAAGCATTTTTCAAGGCAGTTTACCAAGATTGAGGTATTAAGGGGACGAGCAGATGGCATAATGGCTACATTGCTAGACAACCATGTAGTTGACCACGATTGGAACCCCAGACTCGGTGACTTAAACTCATGCTGGGCTTGTGCGCGTGTGTGCCCAAGATCCCAAGAGGAGAATGGAAGAGAAGGGGTTGCAGTGTGGCCATCCCCCGGGAGGTGATTTCTTGCTTTCTGTCTCTCTCTGGCTTTCTGGTGAGCACATGTGCCTTATAGCAAAAACTTCTCCAAAAAAAGACCAAGGTATTAAGGAACAGAATAAAAATATTGTTATTCTTATCCCTGTGTGTCACAAACTGTAGCATGTGGTTTATCACTCTCCAGCAACCACATGTGCCCTATAGCAAATTTGAAAAAAGACAGACCGACCCTGAGATAATCTGGGACAGTCCCATATTGGTCCAGTTGTGTTACCATGGCCACCATATAGCCCTTGTAAATAATCTTTTTTTTTATTATTATTTTTAAATTTTTACGGGTTTTTGCTATGGGTATGTGCCCTCACTGTAGAGAAGACAGAGACAGTAAGGGGGAAAGTGAGAAATCACCCTCCCCCCCAGGGGGAATGGCAGTGCCACAGTCTCTTCTCCATTCTCTTGAAATTTTAGGCATGCGCACACACACACACACACACACACAGTGTGATTTTCAAGCCACCAGGTCTGAGACTCAAACTGTGATTCACCATGTGGGAGTATAGCAATGTAACCACTACACCATCTGCTGGCCCCTCAGCAGATTTTAATGTGCAGGCAAGATGGAGAACTCTACCACACAGAGTTTGAGCGGCAGCTACTTCATAGAGAGCACCATGGCAGAGAAAGGAAGATTTTTTTCCTTTTCTTGCGCATAGTACTATTCCTTCATTCCCTTTTGAAGTTGGTGAGTGTTTACCTTTGGAGTCAATTCATTTTGATATCTCTGTAGAGTAAAATAAAAGGATCTGGTATAGGACATAACATTATAAAATATGAAATCTGGGTAAAAAATGTTGAAATTAATGCAAAACATTTAGTTGCTTCTCTTTTAGGCACTCATTTCTTGTAAAAAAATTATCTTAGATTTGGAACATCATAATATACGTTATAAATTCATACAGTTAAGTAATAGAAATAATTGATTTTGCTTTCTCCCTTTCTCTCTGTGTTGCTGGTGGTCACACATCCCTACTAGCTAAGAAAGAAAAAGAGAAAGGGAGAAACAAAGAGCGAGAGAAAGGAAGAAAGAAAGAAAGAAAGCTAAGAGAGAAAAAAAGAACAAATTGATCTTCCTTTAGATAGATACAAAGAAAAAATAACAAAATGAATTTCTCAGTCATTTTGGTCAGTTTTCAGGTGTTCCAAGTACCAAAAGAAAAATGTACACTTTGAGTTTTAAGAGCATAGTCACTTCATAATGTGCTTTAGAAAATAAATAGGAATGAGTTGTTCTTTTAGTTTTGATTATTATTGTAGCAGTAACTTGGAATGTTAATAAGTAAGTTAATGAAGAGCCTTTTTTTTTTTCATTTGATAACACAGGCTAAATTTGGCCGAAGGTGGACCAAAATTGCAAAGCTGATTGGAAGTCGCACAGTTTTACAAGTGAAGAGTTACGCTAGACAGTACTTTAAAAATAAGGTAAGTAGGATATAAATACCTTAGTTAATAATAAAAAAAAATTAGTAAGCATAAATAGTTTTTTAAATTCATTCATTAAAGTCTTATTGCTAAAAGTTTTTATAGAGAAATTATTTTATACTTATAAAATACTATACATCTGTTTACCTTTAAAAACTAAAGAGCATTTCAGCTTTGAATGTTGCTATTAAATAGGTAGGTATCATATTAGTCCACTTAATTTCATATAGTTAAATAGAATGACAAATAATTATTGCTCAAAAACATCCTGTAAAGCAAATAGTATTCCAGTGAGAAAACCTTGGAGGTCTTATCTTACTGTAAATGATCCTTTCTTTTTTCTTTCCTGTGCGCTTGCAGGGAGACAGAGACAGAGAGACAGAAAGTGAGAAATCACCCCTGGAGGGGGATGGCCACGCTGCAAAACCCTTCTCCATTCGCCTCTCAGGATTTGGGGCATGTATTTACATGTGCCTGGCAAGTTTTAAAATCACTCGGTCCAGGGCTCAAACAGAAGCCAGCTAAGTGGGAGTCCAGCAATGTAACCATTATACCATCTGCTGGTCCTGATCTTTTATTTTTAAAATATTTGTAGTAGGGAAACTTTTAAAAATTATTAGACCTTAGGCCAGCATTGGCATGGTGGCTAAGGCATTAGACTCCAACATGCCAACTGCAGTTCAAGTCCCAGTCCTGGCAGCTTGCTTTCTCACTTTCCCTTTCTCTCTGTTTCTCTTGAAAATGCATGTGCTCTATAGTCAATTAAATAATAATGATAAATAAATTTTTTTAAAAAAATTAGTCATTAACAAATATGCTAACCTAATTCTGAAATCTGTTTAATAGCAATGACATTTTTACAATTGTAATGAAATATTGTCTGGGGGCTAGCAGGTAGCATAGTGGTTAAGGCACTGAACATGTCAGTTTGAGTCCTGAACCTGGTCAGTTGAGAATTGTGCCAGGTACATGTGTGCATGTACCTAAAATCTAAGGAGGAGAATAGAGAAGGGATTACAACATGACCATCTCCCCTAGAGGATGATTTTTTACTTGCCTTCTCACTGTCTCTTTCTCTGGTGAGCACACATGCCCTATGGCAAAAACCTTTATAAAAATAAAAAGAAGAAAAATATTGCCTGCAAATTGTTGTACGTTACAAGGTTCAGAAAGGTATGGTTATGGTCTAGTTCCTTGATCTTTGAAGTAACTTATGGTATCTTCAGTTGTGTATCTTTGATACTTAAATTTTTAAAATATGAACTCTAGAAATATAAATATACAAAATTTAAAAGTGTTTTAAAGTGAAATTTGATGTTTTCTTTTAATGTAAATCACAGGTTCTACCCTTTATACAAGATTTGTCCAATTTAGTGTTGACTGTGCATAAGTGATAAATAATGAACTGGATTCATCATTTACCAGTGCTTCCTCTTTTAACTGAATCTAAGCATTTTTCAAGGCAGTTTACCAAGATTGAGGTATTAAGGGGACGAGCAGATGGCATAATGGCTACATTGCTAGACAACCATGTAGTTGACCACGATTGGAACCCCAGACTCGGTGACTTAAACTCATGCTGGGCTTGTGCGCGTGTGTGCCCAAGATCCCAAGAGGAGAATGGAAGAGAAGGGGTTGCAGTGTGGCCATCCCCCGGGAGGTGATTTCTTGCTTTCTGTCTCTCTCTGGCTTTCTGGTGAGCACATGTGCCTTATAGCAAAAACTTCTCCAAAAAAAGACCAAGGTATTAAGGAACAGAATAAAAATATTGTTATTCTTATCCCTGTGTGTCACAAACTGTAGCATGTGGTTTATCACTCTCCAGCAACCACATGTGCCCTATAGCAAATTTGAAAAAAGACAGACCGACCCTGAGATAATCTGGGACAGTCCCATATTGGTCCAGTTGTGTTACCATGGCCACCATATAGCCCTTGTAAATAATCTTTTTTTTTATTATTATTTTTAAATTTTTACGGGTTTTTGCTATGGGTATGTGCCCTCACTGTAGAGAAGACAGAGACAGTAAGGGGGAAAGTGAGAAATCACCCTCCCCCCCAGGGGGAATGGCAGTGCCACAGTCTCTTCTCCATTCTCTTGAAATTTTAGGCATGCGCACACACACACACACACACACACAGTGTGATTTTCAAGCCACCAGGTCTGAGACTCAAACTGTGATTCACCATGTGGGAGTATAGCAATGTAACCACTACACCATCTGCTGGCTTCCTAAATAATCTGTTTCTGAGGGCTGTCATATCCCTTCATAGGTATGTCAGTCATTTCAAGATTTTTAAAAAAAAACTTAGATTTTATTTTGTCACATTTACTCATTGACTTTTATTATTTTTTGTTATATTACCAGTTATTTATGCCCATAATAACATACACAGAAGATAATTTCATGCCTTAATATATAAAGTCTATAATATTGGAGCTGCACTAAATGAACCTATAGAAAAAAAAAAGCAGTTTACTTCTGCTGTCCATTTATTTAAGTAAAAGATTGTTTTTATTTATGTGAGATTCCTGTAAATAAAAGATTTTAGTATTATAAGAAACGATTAGCAGTGGTATCAACTGCCTAAGAAATAAACCTTTATTCTAAGAAATAAACCATATATTAGTGCCTTATAGAACACCTTAGTATGATAGTTATTGGCTCATTCTCTATTGTTGATCTGACCCAGCCCCCTACTTTAAACTTAATGTTGAAAAATTAGTAGTAGTTTTATATAGGTTAGAATTATTTGCTTAGCAAAAAAAAATCACCAGACCATAAATGAGTTATATTTATGGAAATTTAAAATGTTCATCTTTTACATTTCAAATGGAGTTGTAAACTGTTTAAAGAAAAGCATAATTAAAATGTAATGTACCATTAACATTCAGGTACTCAGTTCACTAGTGTTGTACTTATCATAGTTTTCATGCCAGTAATTAAATTTTAAGATTCTAATATTATGGAGATTGTTTCTGATTTTTTTTTTTTTAATAAGGTAAAATGGAGCCCAGAGAAAGAAACACCGAATCAGAAGAACTGCAGTGATCTTCAGATTAAAAATGAAGTTAAAGGGACAAAGGCATGGACACCATCATGTCTAAGAGGACGTGCTGATCCCAACTTAAATGCAGTAAAAATTGAAAAATTATCTGATGATGAAGAAGTAGATATCACAGATGAGATGGATGAATCAACTTCTCATAAACCTCAGAAGTTTAGTGGTGGTCAGTCTTTAGACATTCCTAATAGCAAAATGTGTGAAGCTGGTCAAGGAGAATTCATTGCTTCTGACAACCAAGTGGATCCCTTTTCAAAATCTTCTGTAGAATATCTTCAGAATATAAAGCAAAATGAAATGGAAACTATTTCGCGCTCGGAAATCACATTATGGACTGAAAAACACAGCAACAGTGACAAGAAATCAGTTGAATTAAATGATCAGGAATGTAATAACTTGATTAAAAACTGTAACATACATGATGGAAATAGAATAGTTGATAATGCCAGGCAGTTGCCTTCTCCAGAACCTTGTGAAAGTCAGAACGATTTGAGTGATAATGATATGCTTTTTCACTCTTCTTGCCAAATGGTAGAGGAAAGCCATGAAGAAGAAGAGCTTAAGCCACCAGAACAAGAAGTAGAAATAGATAGAAACGTCATTCAAGAAGAAGAAAAACAAGCAATTCCTGAATTTTTTGAAGGGCGCCAAGCTAAAACACCAGAACGCTATTTGAAAATTAGAAATTACATTTTGGATCAGTGGTAAGAAAGTATTTTAACTAGGCTGTGCAGAATTTAGAATTTTGCTAGCGATCCAGAGAGCTTTCACATGCATTATCATTTTAGTAGAACAATATTTAAAATTTCTCTTAGTGAAACTTTTTTGAAGTTTGTTTTCCACATGGTTGGTAAACATCCTATTGCCAGAATGTTTGGGCCTGGAGGAAATAAAAAGGGATAGATGATTGTTTTAAGAAGTAAGCCTGGCTGGCCTTATGGCCTAATATTTAAGGGAACTTGTTCCCTCATGGCCAACCAAGGTATGAATCCTGGTCCTGGTGGCTTGAACAACATGCCAGGCACATGTATGTGTATGCCCCCAGCCCTAACAGGATGGAGAAACAGAAGGAATTTGGCATGATCGTGTTCCCGTAAGTGTAGGGGTGGGGAGAGGTGTCTCTCTCTCTCTCTCTCTCTCTCTCTCTCTCTGCGAGCACATGCACTTTTTGGCAGTTCAAACAAACAAATAAAAAGAAATAACCTCTTGGAACAATATTGGCAAGATATAGCTAGAGACCACTACTACTATTCAGAAAGGGAAGGGTTTACATTCAGTATAAACAAAAGTTTGGTGACAGGAATAGTGTTATTAATTGTGGCTAGATTGTAGTAACTGTTCTCCTAAAGCTTTTAACTTTAAACTTATGGTATAAGGTGCTAATAATTTCTTCATTCAAGCTTCATCGGAATACAGGAATTTTCTGATGTTTATTCTCTTAAATTGTCAGTTTTTTTATTTGAACTATTTAATGAGTAGTGGGGGCAAACCAAAAAATTTCCTACCATGTTAACCCAAATACTCTAAGTAATTTGAATTTTTCTTAATGGCTTATCTAAGCCATCATTAAATATTCATAATTGCTACTAGTGTTTTAGGAACTATCAAACTGTATAGGGTCATCTTTGTAGAGTCTTCCACTTGCTTGAATAGGAATTCTGCTATGTTCCTTGTTTTTCTCTTCCCTTACTTTTCTCTCCTGTTGCATTAAAGGTCTTTCTATTCTGTTACAATACCTTTCTGCAATAACCTAGGGTGGTTACCAGAGAAAACATACTTGCTAAATCAATAGTCTTTTTACCCATACAATATTGTGGCTTTTAAATCACTATTTAGGCTAGCCAATGGTATGGTAAGTAGGTAGAACAGCTGGATCCCCACAGCCGACTAAGTAATTCAACTTCTGTCTCCATCCAGTGGCTTGAGAAACATGCTAGCTACTTGTGCGTGAATGTATGCCCAAAATCCTGACAGGAAGGAGAAATGGAGAAGGGATAATGGCATGATCATTCCTTCTGGGAAGGTGCTTTCTCTGTCTCCCTCCTTCTATCTTTTCTTCTGCAGGGGAAAAAGAAAAAGGGTTGCTATATTCTAAAAGAAGGATTTATTTTTGTCTACATTCCATCATTGCATATCTCTATAGCACAAAATATGATTTTTTCAGAATATGCATGTAGTACGTGACAATTAAATCGAGGATATTACCATATATTGGGTTGGAAAAGTCATGGCATGTTTTTCTATGCAAAAATGCGTCACGACTTTACTGACGACCCAATACATCATTTTCAACAGAGAATCTTACATTCGCTTGTGTTAAGTGTTTTTTTCCCTTTTTCCTCCCACGTACCCTCTATAATCCATGCCCCTCCTATGGGTTCTGGTACCTATATTCACCTATATTCATCCTCCTTACTATCATATCTTCAAATATTTCCATTTCTGCCATAAGAGTGTAGACATTCAGTGTATATTGAGTGGGGGTATATAGTATGTATCCTTCAGAGTCTGATTTACTTCAGTTAGCATTAAGTCTTCTATATTCGACCACTTTGAATCAAATGACAGGGTCTTATTGTTCCTTATGGCTGGTAGTATTCCATGGTATATATGTGCCACATTTTTTTCAATCTAGTCTTCAGTTCTTAGGCACATAGTTTGGTTCTGTATCTTAGTGATTATGAATAATGCTGCAATAGACATGGATATCCAGGTGTTTCTCCAACTGAGTATTTTCTTATCCTTTGGGTAAATACCTAGGATTACTAGGTCATATGGTAGTTCTTTTTGTAGGTTTTTAAGGGACCTCCATATTGTTTTTCAAAATCATTGTACTAATTTATATCTCTACCAGTAGTGTAGGAGGGTTCCCTTTTGACCACAGCCTCATCAGCACTTGTCTTATTTTTTTTTTCTATAGCCATTCTAACAGGTTAAAGGGTATCATTGTGGTTTTAATTGGAATTTCCCTTATGATAAGAGATAGTGTACATTTTTTCATATGCATTTTGTTAATCTTCCTCGGAAAGTTCAGCTCACTTAACCGTTTTTAAAATTGAATTATTCATTTTTTGCAGGTTAGCTGCTTGAATTCCCTGTATATTTTGGTTATCAATCTCTTGTCTGAAGCATAATTTGCAATTATTTTCTCCCATTCTGAGGGTTGTCTCTTTGCTCTGATTGTAGTTTCCTTTGCTGTGTAGAAGCTTTTTAGCTTGATGTAATTCACTTGTCTGTTTTTGGGATTGCCTGTGCCTTAGGAGACTTATTGAAGAAATTTTTGCAACTCCAATGTCTAAAAGAGTTTCCTAAGTTTCAGTGATCTTGCAAATTGTTGAGGTGCTAAAAGCACAACTTTTGGATAAGGAAGCCATTATAATGAATACTTTAAAAGGAACAACTCCTGACCTTTACATAATGTTTTATAGTTTACACACAGCTCTCCTATGCTATCTCACCTAATTCCTCACAACAGTCCTGTGAGATAGGCAGATATTATTCCTGTTAGAGAATAATTCTGAGATCAAGAAAGGTTTAGCGATCTTTCTTTAATTATATAACCAGCTACTTGATACATAAAGGGCTTTAGTGTAAATCTTAACTCTCTAAGTCACTCCTGTTATTTAACATTGCCTAGTTCATACAATTTAAAAAGACTATTTAAATTAGATCTGCTTTGGTATGTAATTTCATTTTTGGAAATTAGGGAATGAACAGCCAAGGACTTGAAAATACTAGTAACTAAAAAATGTTTGTATGAATGATTGGTGTTTACTTAGTGTTATTTTAAACAGATTCCATTAGTTACTATAAAGTTTGGATTCTAAATAAGGCAGAATAATTCTTATAAGTATTACAAATTTTATGGCAACAGTTTCCTAATCAGTTCATGAAACTGATTAGCTATTGCTGTTTAAGTATGGTGATTTAATATGGTGAAAGCAAAAAGAAACCTTTTAAATGGGAACTCAAATCTGTTCTCTTACAAAAGTAGAAGAGAGAATAGTTAGAGACTAGGGGTGGTATCAGAAAAAAAATAGAGGAGTGGGCCAACAGGTGGGACAGAGGTTAAGTGAGGCAGATCCCACATGGCCTACTGTATGATTTGAGTCCCAGACCCAGGTCCATGTGTGCATGTTCCCATAATTCTGAGAGAAAGAAGGAGAAGGAGTTATGGTTTGGCCATCCCCCCCTAGATGGCAGTTTCTCATTTTTCCCCTCTTATCTTTGTCTCTCTCAGGAAAGAGCTTGCATCTTATAGCAAACTTAAAGAGAGTTAAGTTTTAAAAGTACAAACAGATTGGGAACCAGCAGTTAGCGTAATGGCTATGTCGCTGGACTCCCACGTAGTCAACCGTGGTTTGTGTCCCGGACCCGGTGGCTTAAAAAAAACTCACGCCGGGCGCGTGTGCGTGCGTGCCCAAGATCCCGAGAGGAGAATGGAGGAGAAGGGATTGCGGCGTGACCATCCCCCCTGGGGGGTGATTTCTCGCTTTCTGTCTCTATGTCTCTCTCTGTCTGTCTGGCGAGCGCACGCGCCCTACAGTGAAAATCTTTCAAAAAAAAAAAAAAAGTACAAACAGATTTATTTGTAGATAAAAGATCTCTTTTTTCCTTTAGATACTTTTTTAGTTGACTCCCTGTTTAGGGAAATATTTTTATTAAACTAGTTACTAGTACCATTATTCATTGCCTACCAAATGCTATGCATTGTGTTTAAATCATCTTTAGTCCTCTCAGTAAGTTTGTCCTTATTTTACAGATAAGAAAAATGAGATTCACAGAGAAAAGGAATGTGTTCTAAATCATACTGGGTAAAAGTATTTTCATAGTCTTCAGTCTTAGCTCATTAGAGTTGAACTTTGAATAGCATGGCTTTTGAACTCTGGGTCCACTCAAGCTGGCAATTTTTTCAATAAATATATTGAAAAATGCAATGCAATACTATAAGTTATTTTTTCTTATTTAAGATTTTCTTAATATTTTTGTTTTCTCTATCTTACTTTAAGAACACAGTATGTATATAATACATATAGCATATAAAAAATGTGTTACTCAGTAATTTATGTTATCAGTAAGGCTTCTTGTCAACAGTAGGCCATAAGTAGTTAAGTTTTGGGGAAGTCAGATGTTGTATGTGGGGCCAACAGATGGCGTAGCAGTTAAGTCACTGGACTCCCACATGGCCGAACGTGTTTCTAGTCTTGGACCCAGTGCCTTGAAAATCACACCTGCTGTATTTGCATGTGTGCCCAAGATCCTGGGAGGATCCTGGGAAGAAAATGGAGGAGAATGGGTTGTAGTGTGGCCATCCACTCTGGGGGTGATTTCTCATTTTCCCTCTCACTGTCTTTGTCTCTCTCCCCAGTGAGCACATGGGATGAAGGCAAGAACTAAAAAAAAAAAAAAAAAAAAAAAAAGTTGTATGTGTTTTTTTTACTTCCAGGTGTCAGCGCCCCCAACCCCCCATGCTGTTTAAGGGTCAAGTATATTTTCACACTTCCATTTCAGGGCATTGACCCTATTTTTTTTTTTCTTTTTTTTAATTCGCTATAGCACATGAGAGAAACAGAATGAGAAAGAGAGAAGCACCACCTGGCCGGAGGCCACATTGCAATCCCTGCTCCATTTTCTCAGGATTTGGGGCACGCACACATGTGCACATGCCTGACATGTTTCTCAAGGCACTAGGTCTAGGACTCAAACTACGCAGTTGGCCACATGAGATCCAGCCACTTTAACCACCACACCACCAGATGGCCTGACCCTAACTTTTTACTCTGCCTTAAAGGATCTTTCTCCCAGCTATTGACAAATGTTGCTTCCTCATCTTCAGGTCTGCACAAGGGAAGTTAGAGGCCTTTGACCATCCTATCTTAAGTAGCACATATACCTCCTCCCTCTCATTCTTTGTTCTCTAACCCTACTTTTTATTTTTTTCATAGAACTTATTACCACTGAAAATTACTGTTTTTCATTTGTGTATTGTCTCCTGTACTTCCCATCCACATGGTAATGCAGGCCACATGAGGGCAGATTTTTGTCTAGCTGGTTAATTGTTAAATCGCTTGTGCTTAGAACAATACTGGGAATACAGATGACACTCTATTGAGGGAGAGGATTGAACATATGAATCATCACTTTTTTATGAATCGTTATTTTTAGAGTTGTTCACTGTACTAGATTGCTGAGTTCCTTTTAAAACCATTTAATTTGGGTAATCTTGAATTATATCACCCTCGTTTTCAGACTACTATGGTTTTTTTGGTAGTTGTACTCTTTCCTTCTTTTTTGCGTTCATTTGTCCAGTTTGTTTTCTCTCAGGATACACGGAGATCTCAAGTTATGATACTGTTCCATATTACAATTACTTTGTACTTCTCTAGACTTCTACAGAATTTATGACTTTAAATTAGATCTCTGGGCCAGATAGGTATATTAAATGCATTTCTAGTTAAGATTTTTTAAAAGTTGGTTTCTACTTAGAAAGGCATTCTGTAAACTGTCTGAAATAGTCTCTGCGTCTTTGTTTCACTAGTTCTTTATCCTTCACATTTACTTAGTATATTGCAATCTGACAATACAATATGTATTATTCATCGAGTTTTTGACAGTCTTCCCCATTAGAATGTAAGGTCTGTGAGGTCAGGTACTTCATATTGTTCATTTCTATATGCCTAGTGCCTAGAACAATGTCTCATGTGTAGGACACAAAATAGGTATTTGTAGAATAAAACGATTAAATAAATACCTATGTTATTCGATATATCTGAATACTTAATTTATATCTGTACTGAATCCTGATTCTGTCACTTATGTGCTTCATCACTCTGATCCTTTTGTTTCCTCACTGCTAACATGAGAATAATAAGTCTCCCTTGCAGAATTATTGTGAAAAATTGAGGATGTTTAATTCATAGTAGAGCATCCAGCATGAGCACATAGTATTTGGTTTCTACTATTTTCAGTTGTTCTATAACTCTTAAGTTTTTTATTGTGTCATGCAACATGGTATATTAAGTATATTTATTCATCAAAGGTGTGTTTTATTACCTAAACCTTTCATATCGTGGTATTTGAGAGTTTCTTGATTCCTGTGGAATCTTCTATAATATCTATGTCTGTTTTCCACTAAAAGTTTTACAATATTTAATACTGGCATCATGACTAAAGTGAATTTAAAACTTGCAATATAGTATCAAAACACTCTTTTTATTCAGTCAGGCTTGAATTTGGATCTGTACATAAATAAGCTTCTAACTTTGAGGTCCTGGGATAACTGGAATCTGTTTAATATTGGGGAAGAAATAATGCATTTAGAAGTCATACTGTATTTATAAGTTATTGTGTCAATTAAAAATCATTTATTTAAGAAAGCAGTATACTTGGGTATTTTAGAAAGGAGTACACTTGGGCATTATGTATTAGTATTGTATTAAACATTTTACATATTTAGAGGGAATAAATTTTTAAGCTATTTCAAATATTAATTTTTTTCCCCAGAAATATTTTTTCATGTTTTTATTTTTATCCAAAATAATTGTACTTCCATTTCTTAATTAGGGAGATATGCAAACCGAAATACTTAAATAAGACCTCAGTACGTCCTGGCCTGAAGAACTGTGGGGATGTTAATTGTATTGGACGGATTCATACATACCTCGAATTGATAGGAGCAATCAATTTTGGATGTGGTAAAAATAAAAATCCAGCAACATCTTTCACTCAACATTTTTTAACCTTACAGGACCCATTATTTACTCTGATGGTTAGAATTCAAGTAGATTTAGGTAGATAGAATTCAGAGAGATGTAATAACATTTATAGAATAAATGTGTTAAGATTTTTCTGTAAATCAGATTTCTGTTTATTAAATTGTTTCCCATTGATCCAGAATGAAAATTCAAGGTGTGATTTAAAGGAAAAAAATACCCAAGTTAATAATAGAAGTAATTTGAGAATATGGTTTTAAGGTAAAAGTGAAATTATTTTATGAAAAGCCTAATAACACCTTTGTTTTCTAAATAAAGTATTCATCCTAGAAATGTTGTCTAGCAATTTTATAGGAAATTATGAACTATATTTAAATGTAAAAAGGTACAAAAAAACTTGTCATGGAAGAGTTTCACCCTAGTTTTTTTCACATTTACAGTTGATAAATATGCATATTTTTAAGTGTGTCCTACCCTTTTATTGAATTAACATGAGTTAAAATATTGGAAAAAGCTATTACTACCATTACAAAGTGATAAGGTAATCAGAACCCTTGTAACCCATAGTTTAAGAAGATTATATTACTGGGCCAGCCTGCGGTGTTGCGTTAAGGTGGCTAGAGCCCATGTGACCGACTCTGCGGTTTAAGTCCCAACCCAGCAGCTTGAAAAACACCCCAGGCCCACGTGCATGCTTTCCTAAGATCCTGAAAGGAGGGAGAAATGGAGGAGAAGGGATTTTAATGTGACTATCCTTGATGGAGTACTTTCTCACTTTCCTTTTCTGTTAGTCCATCTCTAGTGAGTACACGTACCCTCTTGCAAATTAAGAAAAAAGAGTGTGTACTGTACCCTTTATGAAAGTGAGATAACTATTCAGAATGCTTCTAGTCAGAAATTTCATTTTATATAGAGCAAGACTTCATAGTCTGCCTTGGGGGCTATCCTTCATTTTAGTGTCTTTGTCCAAAGCCCTATATAAATTGAGTCAAGATTTTTAAGAACAGTGAGGTATTTTAACTTACTTAGCCAATGAAAGAAAACATGATTTGCCAAAGTTAGCAAAATGGGCTTAGCACTCATTTAATTAGAAATTAAGCAAATTACCCATTTCCTTACTATTCCTTCTTACTGAGATTTTTATATAATAACATTACTTTTGAGAACTGCTAAGTAACTCATCACATGTATGATGTAGAATAAGATAGACTCATAGAAGCTTATAGTCATTGTAGACATTTACAGTTTAACAAGTGAGTATCCCTAGATAATAGTTTGTTTTTCCTGAATTCCAATAGAACAGGCTGTATATAATAGGCCACAACCAGTTGATAAAGTACGGATGAGAGACAGAAAAGATGCAGTAGAAGCATACCAACTCGCCCAGCGTCTGCAGTCTATGGTAAGCAGTCATCTCTAAATGATTGTCCACGTTGCTCTTTATCCCGTCTCAGTAGAGTATGCCTACTTCTCTAAGCTAGTTAGCAAGTGGGCATTTAGTGAAAGAGGATGTTTTCTCTTGAATTTCACCTTAGCTGTTCACTTTTCTGGCTTCCATTTAATTCCTTGTTGGTTTTTGAGGCAAAAACAAACGAAAAAACTCTTAAAATTCACTGACAAACTTGATGTAGAAGTATAACGTTAAAGTAGGCATGGCTTCTTAGTTTTGCTTGATAGATGTAATAGGTCTTTTTTTTTTTTTTGAGAGGTTTTCACTATAGGGCGCGTGCGCTCGCCAGACAGACAGACAGACATAGAGACAGAAAGCGAGAAATCACCCCCCAGGGGGGATGGTCACGCCACAATCCCTTCTCCTCCATTCTCCTCTCGGGATCTTGGGCACGTACGCACACGCGCCTGGCGTGAGTTCCAAGCCACCGGGTCCAGGATGCGAACCACGGTCAACTATGTGGGAATCCAGCGACATAGCCATTACGCTAACTGCTGGTTCCCATAATATGTCTTTTTTAAATGATACAGTTTTTTTCCTTTCAATTATTTTCGTTCTTTTAAAATTCTCACCTTAAAAATCAACTTGTGGCCCTAGTGGGTGGTGTGATGGTTAAGGTGCCAGACTCCCACTTGGGTAATCACAGTTCGAATCCTGGACCCAGCAACTTGAAAATCAACACCAGGCATGCATGCCCTATGACAGTGACCTAAAAAAACAAATCAGTAAGATTCAGCTTTTTAAAATAACTAACTTTATTTTTTAATTCTTGGAATCAGTGAGTTTTACAATTTTTTTTTTCCTTTTTTTAGTTTTTGCCATAGGGTGCATACACTTGCCAGAGACAGATAAAAATAGAGATAGAGGGAAAGTGAATAATCACCCGCTATGGGGGATGGCCACGCCACAATCCTTTCTCCTCCATTCTTCTTTTGGAATTTTGGGCACACACGCACATGTGCCTGGCTTGAACTGTGTAGTCAGCCATGTGGAATCTAATGCCTTAACCTTCATGCCACCTATTGGCCCACAATATTTTAAAACTTTGAGTCTCATTTTATAAATAAAATGACCCAATAAGTGTTCTCTATGACAGTATCATGATGTGATCTTGTTAGTTTTACTAATAAGTTAGTAACAATAAAGATGTACATTTTTTTAAAGTGTAGATGAGGGACGAGCAGATGGCATAATGGTTACTTCGCTGGATTCCCACATAGTTGACTGTGGTTTGAGTCTCAGACCCAGCCATTTAAAACTCACACTGGGTGCTTGGGTGTGCAAAGGAGATTGGAAGAGAAGGAATTGCAGTGTAGCTATCCCCCCAGGGGGTGGTTTCTCACTTCTGTCTCTCTGGCGAGCACATGCACCCTATAACAGAAATCTCTCTTAAAAAAAAAAAAAAGGATAGATGATAAGAGTAGCTGTTTTTCTCAACATATTTGAGCTGTAAACTATATTTAGATTTACTATCTTAAAGAATATATTCAAATAGAATTGCTGGTAATAGCGTTAGTCATACACTGTCCTTTGGCATCTGGTCCATCCTAAAAGCCCCAGTATTTAGGTTTGCAGAACTGGGTATTAGTAACATAGTCAACCAATGTTGTAATTTTTCAGTATTTGTGTTAACCAGGTAATCTTTCTAAAGCTGAGATATGACCCAATTCTGGTAGTGTAACAGTTGCACAATGCCCTGCAAGGTTGGAAGTCATAGAGACCATCTGGGCTGGATCCCAGCCTGACCCCTGCATGCTGGGCTTGCGTGCATGCCTGCGGTCCTAGTGAGCTAGAAAAGGCCAAGGGTTGCACAGGGAGACCCTGCTGAAGGTGCTTGTCTCCCTCTCTCCCTCTCAAATAAATAAACTTTTCTTAAAAAAATAAAGCTGAGATAGAAAAATTTTGCTTCTAGTTTTCAATATTGTATTTCTTGCCTTGTGTCTGCACATCGTATACCATAAGTAGTTAAGGGAAGCCATTTTCTGTTGCTACTTTTCATTCTTAAAATTGTTTTGACCTAGTATTTAGTTTCTACATAGTGAAAGGAAGTGACCATTAAAGAAGAAATACAAATAAAATACAGAACATTTTCATTCATTCATTCATTCATTCATTCATTTATTTTAAACATGACTTCTAGACCATGACCACCACCTGGTTCACACCCTGCCCATTACTGCCAGTGTTCACGCTTAGCTCATCATCACCAATTCATTTCTAAGCACAGTTCTAACTATTCAATATAAATTATTAAAATGAAATTTAGTCGGACAATATGTGTTAAAGTGTTGTGATTTTTTTCAAGTTGATCTGGCTATCTCTTGCTTTATTTTATTTGTCACAGCGTACAAGGAGACGTAGGGTGCGAGACCCATGGGGAAATTGGTGTGATGCAAAAGACCTGGAAGGACAAACATTTGAGGTAACTTTGACTTTTCAAATATCTCACCCATAAAAAATTTTATCAGTGTATATTTACTTTTATTTTTTTTTTTTAGAAGTTTTTGCTATTGAGCACATGCACTCACCACTTTATTTCATAAAGAATTTCACAGTTTTTTTGGACAGATTTTTGCTATAGGGTGCATCCGCTCGCCAGAGAGACAGAGACAGAAAGTGAGAAATCACTCCCCCCCCAGGAGGAATGGCCACACTGCAATCCCTTCTCCATTTTCCTCTCTGGATCTTGGGCATGCACACATACGTGCCTGGCGTGAGCTTAAGCCACTGGGTCTGGTACTCAAAGCACAGTCAACTACGTGGGAGTCTAGCAACATAGCCATTATGCCAACTGCCAGTCCCTATATTTACATATTTTAATGCCATATGTTTTGCTTTTGGTTCATATATTTACATATTTATGTCTTTATTCCAAGGTTAATTTGTTTGTCTAGAAGTTACCAGTACACAACAAAGTAGACGTTGGTGGTAATGCGGTTAACTAGAAGTTTGATGCATTTTTAGAACTTTGATTCTCTATCTCCACATTCTTGTCCCTAGCTTAGAAATATCTGCCAAGGTATCAAGAAGTTGGTGCACCCAATTCATTTCATTAAATATTGAATGATATTCTGATACTTCATTTAAAATACTGTTGCAAACATTAAGCATAAATTGATTTAGAATTACTGAAGTATTATTTTTACTAATAAAAACTATGCTTCTAAAAGAAAACGTGAACAATGAATAGGTGTGTATTCACACACACAGACATAAACTAAGTACATAATTGTAAGCAACTGGTACAGTAGAATGGAAAGAATGTATGACTGTTTTTTTTCTCTTTGGTTACCTTGTGCAACTACTTAGAAGTATGGATAATAATAACTTCCTGAAAGAATTGTTGTAAGAAATAAATGAAATAAACTATATAAAGGTCCTAGTACCAGCTACCCAGTAAACCTTGCATGTACAAGGTATTAAATAAATTTTAGCCTATTTTCCCTCTTCCACATTCCCTGCCCTCAGCCTCACATCCAAGCACTCCTCTAGGCATAATTAGTAATCTATGGCTCCTTCCCATAAGGAGCTTATACTTCTAGTAAGAAAGACAAAAGCTATTGTAAGTTCTAAAGTGTTTGGTCCCAAGAATTATAAAGGACTCCTACTGGTGTAATTTGGGGAAGTTTCAGAGGATGTAATGTTTAATCTGAAGAATTAGCCAAAGAATTTTGAAAAGTAGATGAAAGCAGTTAGTGCTGAAGGAATGGCGTAAGCAAAGGTACAGACATGGGAGAGTACTACATAGAGTCTTGAAAAGGAGTAAAGTCATTTGGCCTAGAGTGTAAAGTTGGTAGTAGAAATGGAATAAGAAATAGAGATTTGCTGTATTTCATAAATACTTGCATAGGGCGTACTATGAGTCAGACAGTAGTGTCAGTATTTTATAAACATTAACTCATTTCATCTCCACAGTAACATGAGGTCATTATCTTTATTACTGTTATTGTTCCCACTTGTAAAGATGAGGAAACTAGAGCCCAAAACCTTCAGAACTTGCCGAATATCACCTACTTAGTAAATATCACAGTTGGGTGTTCTATCAGGTCATCGGGAAAGTCAAGACATATCTTTCTGTGTTTTTCTATCTAAAAATGCGTCTTGACTTTCCTTACAACCCAATAGCTCCAGAACCCTTGTTCTTTAATTTTTATGCTGCAGTGTCGCAGTGTCTCTCAGTTGTGGGGGGGGAAAAAAAAAAAAAACAAAAAACCTCAATAGAGTAAGACTTAATAACTAGAAATAGGAAATAACAGACTCAGGTGGTTCTGAGGTTTTCGAATTTGAGTGACTGATACCACTAATTGAAATGAGCAAGTACAGAGAAGGAGTGAATTTTATGTTTGGTATTGCTGCATATTTTGAAACAATTTTTTAAAACTAACCATTGGGGCCAACAGATGGCATAGTGGTTACGTCTCTGGACTCCCACATTGCTGACTGAAGTTCCAGTCTTGGATCCAGTGTCTTGAAACTCAACACTGCATACATGCCCAAGATCCCAAGAGGAGAATGGAGGAGAAGGGATTGCGGTGTGGCCATTCCCCCTGGGGGATGATTTCTCACTTTCCCTCTCCCTGTCTCTCTCTCTCTCTGGCAAGTGCATGTGCCCTATGGCAGAATAACCTCTAAAACAATTCATCATCATTTCTGTTTGTCAGTAATGAAAAGATGACATATCTATACCAGATTAGTCTGTCTTTGTATCACATGCTCTAAAGTTTGGGTTTTAGAGGACTCTTTATTAATTCTGTCTCAATGATTAATGGACTCTTTGATTAATGGTATTTAATTTTAGCATCTCTCTGCTGAGGAGTTGGCAAAAAGAAGAGAAGGAGAAAAACTCAAACCTGTCAAATCTTCAAAAGTGCCAAGACCAACAAAAAGGTAGTGTTATGTTATATAAATGAGTTTTTTTTTTCACTTACACAAGTGGTTAGATAGTTTATAAATATCTAAAAGCTGCATTATATTGTTTATAGTATGTTATTTAAGCTTAAGCTTAAAAATTCTGAAAATTTTTTAGTTCATTATTGATTTTAGAGACCTTGAACAAAAGTTTTAAATGTGTTCAGGTCCAGTGAATATAGGATCCAACATATTTTATAAAGGGGCCTTATTTGTAACAGATGGTCATTCAGTTCATTAGAGACATTATGGACGAGTACCCTCATGAAATGACTGGTTCTTTCTTTGGGTGGTGCTGATTGTTAGCAATTTGTAAGGTATTTTGCTGTTATCATTGCTTTTTTAAATGTATTTAATAAGCTCAGTTTGAAAACTATAAAAATAAGAGTCACCAAATAAGTTAAATTTGATCTTGATATCCTAGAATTGTCACTTCGTGCACATACCTCATTAAAGAGACAATATAGCTTTGTCACTGTCTCTTTTAAAATGATGTATCCAAGAATACTACCAGGTCATTTTCTTATCAGTTGTATGGGCTTGGTAAGTTACTTAAAGCCTCAGCAAGCTTTGAATGCTCATTTATAAATTAAAATAGTTGATACCACAGGCTAGTGTTTTAAGAACTTCATACATAAAGGGGCTTTAGAAAGTTCATGGAAAATAGATAATATAAAAATGTGGATTTCAAAAAAAATTGCCCCCAAAAAACCTCATGCTTTAACTCCATTTTCTATGAATTTTTTTGAAGTCCCCTCATATACTATCTCATTTAATCCATGTAACAACCCATATGCAGTTAAAAGTTATATTTCACTCCCATTTCACAGGTGAGAAAATAGACATAGAAAGGTCTAGTAAGGCGCTCAAGTTTTTTATGTTGAAGCTGTGATTTTAATTCAGGCATTAAGACTTAAGAATCCATACTTCAACATTATATATATTACCTCCCTATAGTAGAAATTAAAGTTTACACAGTTGTTCTGAGAATCAACTAAACTAGATAAATCATGTAAAAAATATGATCTATGTGAGCCAGGACTTTTTCAGTCCAGACAGTTGATTTTCTGAGTCTGTTATGTCAGACTTACATTTGTTAGGATTTTCATGTTCTTATTCCAGCTTGTCAGGATCTTTTTGAATCCAGACCCACTTCTCATTTTAGCCTTCATAACATTGAATCATCAACTTTCAATACACTTGCTTTTTCTTTCTTTAACCACTGATTAAAAATGTTTAACTGGAATAAACAAATCTCAATTTATTGTTTAGTCAGCTGCATAAGACCTCAGTTAATTCATATTTCTTCACATTATGCAAGATAATCATGGAAAATATCTTACTTAAATTTAGATAAAATACATTTGAATCTTTATGTCATCTGCTAGTTTCTGGCAGATCACTCCTATCCGAATGCCTGTAATAAAGTCTGCTTATAATAACTTCTATTTTCAGGAGCCCATTATTGTTTTAGGCTCTTCACTTGGGAAAGGCTCACAAATCAGTATTTGATAATCTCTGCTAGATTTTTTGCCATTTTAGCTCTGTTCTGGAAGGCCATTCTTCTGTGTTTTGAAAATAAGTCCAATAATTGCCTATCCTCAGCCCTCCAGTAACTTTGCCATTCACTGCAACTCCTCATAAAACACTGATAGCAATTCCATAGCCATAGTTCTTAAAAGTGCTGTAGGGCATTTTTCCTCTCTCTGTTTTCTTTCAATTTTCTTATCTGTGTTAGCCTTTAGTTTCTACTTATTTGTGTTGATTATGCTTTTTCTAATTTAAAGGTCTTTCTTTGTTCAACAGATATTTTTTGAATGACTACTGTGCAGCAGGTTCTTGGGACATAGTACTGAGCAAAACCACATGTCTGATCTCATGGAATTAATAGTCTCTTTGGTAGGACAGATACTGAATAGTCCTGTTCTTTTCCAGTTTTGTTATAATAATGTGAATATATTCCTATTTGTCTTTCTCTCAGCATCGCCTAAAAAAAATTTTTTAGAGGTTTTTGCCTTAGGATGTGTGAGCTTTCTGGAAAGGGATAAGAGACAGAGACAGTGAGAGGGAAAGAAAGAAACCACCCTCCAGGGGATGGCCACACCCCTTCTCCATTCTTCTCTTGAGATCTTGGGCATACACACACATGTGGCTGGTGTGATTTTCAAGCCACCAGGTCCAGGACTTGAACCACAGTTGGCCACATGGGAATCCAGCAATATAACTTGCTTAAGTTCTCCCTCTTCCTCTCTCTCTCTCTCTCTGTCTGTCTTTCTTTTTTAGGTTTTTGCCATAGGATATGTGAGCTCTCTGGAGAGAGACAGTGAAAGGGAAAGTGAGAAATCACTCCCTAAGGGGGATGGCCAGGCTGCTATCCCTTCTTCTCCATTCTTGCTCGGGATTTTGTGCATGCATACACACATACCTGGTGTGACTTTCAGGCCTGGACTCCAACCATGGTCAGCCACATGGGAGTCTAGCACCTTAACTACCATACCACCTGCTAGCCCTCTTTTTCATTTTTAAATAAGAGTTTATTGTAGGACTTTCTATGCATTTTGATTTCTTTAACAGAATTGTTTGTTATTCATTCATTCAAAAAATATTTATTGAATCCTTGCTCTGGTAGACCCATTATTATACCAACAGAAGTATTTTTGAGAAACTTTGATCTTCTTATCTTTCAGGAATTAATTATGTTTTCAATGAACTTTTTGAAATTTGCTATTAGTATAGGACACACCTGTATGATGGTTTGTAGTATTCTCTTTGGATGATAAAGGACATTAAGACAACAAAATTACTTTCTCCAAAAGTTTCTGGGGTTTTGTTGTTGTTGTTGTTGTCAAATATAAAAGAAAAATCTATTTTCCAAAAGGGTTATATGAAATGTCCTAAGACATTCTCCTAGTTTTTTATTCACACAGAATTTGGGGCTCTATTACTGATACACATTTTCAGGTTTGCAAAGAAATATTGTATTTCTAATATTGAATTTATATTAAAAATCAATTTCTTTTCTTTTTCAGCTCATTTGATCCTTTTCAACTTATACCTTGTCATTTTTTCAGTGAGGAAAAACAGGTACTAATTGTGCATCAATGAATGACCATCAATAATATGTTCCTGTCAGACAGGAAATACTCTTTTATGTGTGTGAGGCATATGTGTGTTAAAAGATTGGATAAGGTTTATTCTGAGTCTTGACTAGTAGTGAGAACTTGATGGAATAGGTAAAGGAGGAAAGGGTGGACATTTCATTTGGGGAGAACAAAATCTCTATTTTTATGCTCCCCATTTTTTTTTTTTTATATTTCAGGAGCCATTTCAGGTGAAAGTAGCTTCAGAAGCACTTTTAATAATGGATTTGGTAAGGATAACCTATTGTGTTTACTTAGTCATTCTGATTTCTATTCTTGTGTATTTTTATTGCAGGCATAAGAGAGAGTTTGGAAGACGTGTATTTTGGATCTTAACTATCCTCTTTTACAAGGAATCTAAAAATAAGTCTTTTCTTTTGGAGAAAAGCCAAACAATTGCATGTTTCCATATTTTAGAGAAAATAAATTAATGTGAGTTTTGCAGACTTTACCGTCATTACCTTATTTTCACTTCCTGATATCCTGTGTCTGCTGACTTTTAAATCACTAAAACAAAGCACAACTGTAATTTAGAGGTTCCTTGTTTGCACTCAACTATTGATACATCCAACAGTTGTGTGTTTGTGGTGGTTGGGTTTTTTAAAGAGACAAGGTCTTGCTGTGTCACCAAGGTGGCCTCCGATTTGAGATCTTCCTGTCTCAGCCACCCTAGTAGCTGGGATTATAGGCTCACATAACCATGCCCATTGGTGATCTTTTTCTTTAAAAGGATCAGGAGTGACTTTTACTCTGTATCCTTATAATACTTTTCTTAAATAGGGAGAGCAAAGGGCATCTTATTATAATTTTTTAGTGAAAAAATCTTAGATTGTTTAAGTGTTTGTTTTAAAGTTTCTCAGCCAGTGGTTAAGTCAGCTTAAACCTAAGTCTGTGCTCTGAGCCTAGCATCTAGTTCCCCGACTATGCTACTATAGTTCAGAGAAGTGTAATTACCACACGTATGCAACTCTCCTATGATAAGTGAGTTTTATTCTGATTTTTGTCAGGTTTGTGTACTTGGGCTAAGTATGTCTTGTGTTTTCTTTTAGCATGCTCATGTTTCTATGGCAGAAGTGATTGGACTTTTAGGAGGAAGATACTCAGAAGTTGATAAGATAGTTGAAGTAAGTTCTGTCTTTTAAAAAAATGTTTTAACTACTAATTAGTCCTGCCTCCTTACCAAATACTTTTGTAGAATTCAGTGAATAGAAGTAAAATATACACTTTACCTATGATATATGTGAGAATATGCATATGTAGAAGGTTATATATTCCCAGAAGTGATTTAACATTCCATATATTGAGCACCTGTTTCCTTTTACCAATAAGAAAGAGAACAATGCCAGACCTTGACTTCTCATTACCTGCACAAATAAAAAGTTACAAGTCCTGGGACCAGCAATTGGTGTAATGGCTATGTTGCTGGACTCCCATGAAGTTGACGGCAGTTCAAGTCCTGGACCCGGTGGCTTAAACTCATGCTGGGTGTGTGTGTGTGTGCGTGCCCAAGATCCTAAGAGAATGGAGGAGAAGGGATTGTAACATGGCAATCCCCCGGGGGGTGATTTCTCACTTTCTGTCTCTCTGTCTGGTGATTGCATGTACCCTATAGCAAAAACCACTCCCCCCCACCAAAAAAAGAGGTTACAAGTCCTAAGAGGCCAGAAGTATGTTCTAACACTTGTAGTTGAAAGCTGGTATGCATTGTTCTGTTGAAATGTATTATCATTAAGTAACAGGAGTCATGATGAAAGAATATCTTTGCTCTGGTTGACCTGGAAAATTAACCATTATTATGATCTTCCTTGAGTAGAAAAGTGCACGCTGTTTGAATATAGTCCTACTTTTGAAGTATAATCAGAGGAGGATTGATCCTTTACAGGTCTGTGCAGCAGAACCATGTAATAGTCTGAGTACAGGACTACAGTGTGAGATGGACCCAGTATCACAAACACAGGCCTCAGAAGCCTTGGCTGTCAGAGGCTACAGTGTTATCGGGTGGTATCATTCTCATCCTGCATTTGATCCTAATCCTTCCTTACGAGATATTGACACGCAAGCCAAATACCAGGTGTGTATGTAAATATTATGTATATATATATTTTGTAAATGATTGCACTTCCCTTCCTCCCTCATTGCCTTGTTTTAGATTTACATTTCTAATATTCTCTACATCTGGGGTGATTTACATTTCTAATATTCTCTACATCTGGGGTTTTGAAATAACTTGCATTGTTTTTTTCTGATTAGAAGAGTAGTATATGTTTAGGATTTGGAAAGTCAGTTACATCGCTTAGTATACACAGACATGAAAGTAACAGTCATAGTGGCCGGCAGATGGTGTGGTGGTGAAGGTGCTAGACTCCCACATGACCATCCAAGATTTGAGTCCTGGAACTGACGACTTGAAACTCATGCGGGTGTGTGTGTGCCCATCCCCAAAATCCACATAAGAGAATGGAAGGGATTGCGGCATCACCATGCCTCCTGGGAGTGATTTCTCACTTTCCCTCTCTTTATCTGGTGAGCACACGTACCCCTATGGCAAGAAACCTTAAAAAAAAAAAAAGAAAGAAAGAAAGAAAAGAAAAGAACAGTGATAAATATTCCCAGAGCTTAAACTGAAAATGGGTGGGAACAGCTAGGACAGGGACTGAGTATAATTGAAGTAATCAGAAACAGTATATTTTGCGTCTCTGAAAAAAATAAAGCTTTGTTTTGTTTTGCAGTTTTATGTTTGATATATGAATGTTTTTTCTGTAGACAGCTATTTGTAAATTATTACCATATCGATAAGGATTACAACTGAAGGGTAGTCATAATCATATAATTAGTAAATATATTCATGGCAAATGTGGATTTTTTTAGGCCACGTGATTTTTAAAGGGTTGTTCCAGATTGGGTTGAATACTTTTTGGCCTGAAAAATTTATAGTGTGAAATGAATATGTTTGCTGTTCAGATAAGTTTTTTTTAAAAATAATTGATAATTTAATTTTATTTATTCGTTCATTTATTTTAATTTGACCAGAGAGGAAAAGAGAGAAACTGAGAAAGCAAGCCACAAGGTCTGGGACTTGAACCATGGTTACCCATGTGGGAGTGTCCAGTGCCTTAACCACGATGCCATCTGCTAGTCCCTGGATATGAAGTTTTCAATGAAAATTTCTATCTCTCTTTTACCAATTACATATTTTAAATGTTAATATAAATATTAATTATTATGTAATTGAAACTAATTTTATTTTTCTTATAATTGTAGAGTTACTTCTCCAGAGGAGGTGCAAAGTTCATTGGAATGATCGTTAGTCCCTATAATCGAAACAATCCTTTACCTTATTCCCAGATTACCTGTCTGGTTATAAGTGAGGAAATTAGCCCAGACGGCTCGTATCGTAAGTATTCTGCTTTCATTGCTTTGGATCCTACACATCAAAGAATTATAATGCAAAACTGATGGAAAAGTTTATCTATCGACTAATAATGGCATAGCTTTATTTTGAACTTAGTACACAATATATATCATTCTTTGGTTCAGTATAATTTTACAAAAAGTTGCAAAAGAAGCAATCACAATTAATTTGTTCTCAATTTAAATCATTTTTTTTTAAGAAAGGTTTTTTTTGCTATAGGATGCCACATACACTTGCCAGACAGACAGAGACAGAAAGACAGAAAGCGAGAAATCACCCCCCAGGGAGGATGGCCACACCACAATCCCTTCTCCTCCATTCTCCTCTTGGGATCTTGGGCATGCACACACACGTGCCCAGCGTGCGTTTAAGCCACCGGGTCCGGGACGCAAACCGCAGTCGACTACGTGGGAGTCCAGCAACGTAGCCATTACGCTAACTGCTGGTCCCCAATTTAAATCATTTCTTAATCTCAGTCTACCAGATTTTAGTAGTGAAGCTTCTGTTCCCTTGCTGTCCAATAAAGTAGCTACTAGGCACATATGACTGTTTAAATTATTAGAATTAAATGAAACTTTAGAATTCAGTTTGTGGAATTCTACTTCTGGCCAAAAGGAAACAACAAGGACTTGTGTGTAATAACCAAACAAACGGGACAAAAATGTGTAAAACAGTAGAGTTTAGGACACAGCATCAAACAATGAATGAATATGATTGTTGAGAGTTGAGAAACAGAGTGACCCCCAACACAAAATTACCCTCACCTGCTGACTTAGAAGGATTTCCGCATGTAGCTCAGGTGGGAGAAACTCACCCAGAACTGGCAGACTGTTGAGCTGATGAAGGTGAGGAGACCACTGTAGCTAAGTCCTGTTCCTTAGGACAGAGTTGCAGTAGAGGCAGGTCTTCAATGTTCCCCTCACTACAGAAAGTTCTCTTGTACAGAGCTGCCCCACAAATGATTGGACACTGCATATTATTAGATCTTTTGTCCCTTTGCTTTGCTCCTCTTAGAAACTTTCTTTGATGTGAAATTAGAATTTTCCTGAAGCTATGGAATATCTTATACTGTAGTACTTTAAAACATCTCTGAATGACAAAGAATTTTTTGTAATGGGCAGGAAATATACTTAGTAACTAGTTTTCTACTGATATCTTAATATAATTTATTCATTTAGTGAGTTCTGTTAAACCAAGTACCCAGATAAAAATATACTACAAAAGGTGCCCACAGGTAGTATGGTGGTTAAGCCACTACATTCCCACATAACCAGCCACAGTTCTTGTCCCATACCTGGCAGCTTGCTTTCTCAGTTTCCCACTCTCTCTCTTTGGTGAGTGCATATGCCCTATAGAAAATTTAAAAATAGTAATAATATGAAATAATTCTTTAAAAAAAATACAAAGAATGTTTTAACTGACTTCAGTGTCTTTTTTTTAACTTAGCAAAATATTATTTTTTTGTTTTTTAAGGATTATTTTTAATTTTGACCACAGAGAAACAGAAAGAGAAAGAGAGAGGAAAAGTGAGAAAGCAAGCCACCGGGTCCAGGACTTAAACCATATTCTGCCATGTGAGAGTCCGGCGCCTTCACCACCTTGCCACAGGCTGGCACTGCGAAACATTATTAACACCAAATAAAACTGCACATAGTTTGTGGATGCACGCATGCACGTGTGCACATTTGTGTTTTTCTATCAGCACAGACTGGAAATGCATTATTCACCTCTTTTTAATCCCTTTATTGGCTTTCATTAAGAGCAGGAGTTTTCCTTCTGGTAATTTATTGGTTACTTGAGCATTTTATTTAACCTCTCTCATTCTCTTCTGTAAAATGAGACAAAAATCATTACCTTACTTATAGGGTCGATTGCTGTAAAATATTTTGGTAATAGATTTCAAGCGTTTAAATAATAATAGGCTTTTAATAGTTATGATTTTCTGTGCTTAGAAGGTAATCAAAGCACATCAAGTAAATGACTTGCCATCAAAAGGAGTTTACTTACTAGTTCTTACCCTGTAATGTGTTGGTCTTCTTAAGTTTTTGGAAAGGAGAAATAAAACAAAAGGGAGAACTGAGAAATGAAAAAAAAATAATTGAGCCAGCAGATGGTGTGGAGATTAAGGCAGTTGGGTCCCATATGGCTGACTGCACAATTTGAGCCCAATATCCAGAGGCTCAAAAGACATGCCAGGTGCACATGCGTGCATGCCGAAAATCTTAAAGGAGACATAGAAGAGAAGGGATTGCAGCATGCCCATCCCCCTTGGGTGGTGCTTTTTCACTTTTCCTCTCTTTCTCTTTCTCTGTCTCCAGAGACCACAGGCTCCTTAGAGCAAAGAAATTATCAATCATCTTCAGATTTATTGTCCCTTTTCCTCTTTGCAGATACCTGAAAAATGGGGGGAAAAATTCTTTTTAAGAGGATTGATAGTTAAGCTATGCTTTGGTTGTGAGGAAGTATACAAGGAAACTTCAAAAAGTTCCTAGAAAGGTGGAATTAAAATACAAGTTTATTTCAGTGTAAACAATTTTGGAATCCATGCATGGTTCTTTCATAATATGCATTTTCCACTTTTGAAGACCCCTCACATTCATGTTTTTCTTTGTTGTTTTTTTTTTTTCCATGCCTTTTGATTTGCTGACATTTTATGTCCTTGAAAAGCCTTATCACAGCAAAAACCCAACTGAGAAGCATTGTAATAGAAAAGCTAAGAACATATGCTCTTGAGCTAGACTTCAGGGTTCAAATCCTTTATCTTTAATGTACAACCATAAATAGCTTATCTAACTTTTCTGTGACTGTCCTCATCAAAAAGTGGGAGCAATAACGGTAGCTTCTTCATTTATGTGACTTTGCATACATATATAAAGCAGTGAAAGTTTGGTGCATAGTAAGCATTATGTGTTACTTGTATTATGATGGTATCGGCCTTTGGTACTGAATCAATTCAGGCTTTCTTTCAGGACATTGTAGATATGTTTACATGGCGGTTTTGAAGGGTATGCAAGAAATTGCTAAGATGGCTCATCATTTGGTCTTTTTTCTTTCTAACTCTACTGTATACATAAGGTCCATTCCACAGGCTCCTTCCAGAGTTGAGCATGACAGCTTTGACTCAAGTGCAGTTGCTGCCTCCCCGTAGTTTATCCTATTCCCTTTTTGTGTTAGATTAGTATCTTTAGGGACATGGAATGAGTAGGCTCAGAAGTCTCTGCTAAGGTTTCCAAATCCAGGGTCTGCCACATTGCTAACCTGTGTTTCAGCCTGTTTCCTTATCATAAAATATGAATAATGCCACCTTACTGCTTGTTGTAAGCATAATAGCCTATGTTTAAAAAATAAAAGCTGTCACTAGAATGGCAACATGCCTTGATTTGCTTAGGACAGGCCCGATTTAAGCCTATGTTTCTGGCATTCTTATTGAGTGTCCCCTTTTACTGAAAAAGCCTCTTGGTTTGGGTGATAAATTGTGTAATCATTCTCCTTCTCACAGTGCCGTACATAGAATTTTCAGGCAAATGGTTCTTTTACTTTTCTGTATTATTATTAATAGCTTGGCATTAATATGCTTGGTGGACCAAGTACAGTCAGGCAATAAATGTTTAATGAATGCCTACAATGTTTAAAGTGCTATTCAGCTGATCTTTCAAGCTGTGGCTGTAAAAACACTGAAGGGAATTTCAAGTAATTAAAAGGAGATTGGAGATTTTAAAAATTGTTGATGAAAATGTGCTTCTTTATGCTTTCTAGGTTTACCTTACAAATTTGAAGTACAACAGATGTTAGAAGAGCCTCGGTGGGGATTAGTGTTTGAAAAGACAAGATGGATAATAGAAAAGTACAGGATGTCCCATAGGTATGTGCTGTGGTTTGGAATGGTTGCACATCTGCAGTATTGCTCATTAAATTATATTTCAAAGGAAGCCCAAGTTAAATATAAAATTGTGATGTATGGCATCAGTGATAGTTTATTACACAACTGATTAGTTTATCGAATTTGTTTCATTGGTTGGTTTCCATATTTCTTCTTACAGCAGTGTCCCCATGGATAAACTCTTTCGCCGAGATTCTGACCTGACTTGTTTGCAGAAAGTAAGCTGCCTTCATTATAATTGGTTCCATTGTTCACAGATTCTAAAGCTATTCATCTCAATGTGTTTTCCCATGATGCCTAGTGCTTTGTGGATACATTTCCTGTATGTTTCCTTTATTACTTTTTCCTTTCTGAAATTAATTTCTAAGAGATAATTAGAGATGTGTTTTGTTGCCCAAGCTTGCACATAGAAATAATGCTATTTTAGAATAAATTTGTCAGTGATGGCTTATAAATTTCTTAGCAGATTTTTATTGTACACAATGGAGAACATTTTTCTCATTTTATTTAATTCAAAACACCATGTTTCCATTTTAGTCTTAACAATTGATTATTTTTAGCCTAACAATTGATCATTTTTAAGAATGATAGTGTAACTCTAACAATTAAATTTAAATGGTCATTTTATTTAACACTCCAGTAGAAATTAAGAGTTTTGAATTCCTTTATTTCACTTCTAGTTTTATTTTTATGAGTTAAGACTGGTAGACTACTAGTATTTGGGGAAGGGGGTTTGGTAGCAGTTTAGGACTAAAAAATTTAAACATACTACATTTCTTTTTAATTTGTTTTACTCCTTTCTGTTATACTGCTTTTTCTGTGTGCTGTTGAAAGATTAATATACACATTTTTGAGAAAATAGACTCTAGTATCCTATTTTGAAATGGTAGAGTCCTGCGTTTATACGTACATAGATTTTTTTTTCTTAATAATTACAGAATTACTTTGCTCTGTAAGTATAAGTACTAACAAAGGAGCAAAGTTCCAGATGTGTATGAAGTGGAAAGAAAGCCTCACATATTTTTAAAATTATAAAGGAACTAATAATAAGCTAAGTGATCCTCAACAGAAGTTTCCCACATTCCAGCTGTACAATTACTGAATACAGGTTAATCCTCAACCATATTTCAGGAGAGAGTTTCTCATTTGAGCTTGAGGAAATCTGAGATTTAGAAATAGATAAAACAGTGATACTATGCAAATCCTCTTTTTATACTTTTTATGTATTTGAATATAAAACATTTCTTTTCAACTAGCTTTTGGAGTGTCTGAGAAAAACTCTGAGCAAAGTAACCAATTGCTTCATTGCTGAAGAATTCTTGACTCGAATAGAAAATTTGTTCCTTTCCGATTATAAAAGCAAGCAAGAAAATGGAGTGACTGAAGAGAATTGTACACAGAAATTGTTAATGTAATTATGTTAAAGTAAGACATTTTGATCTTGACATGAGAAACCCTACTTTCAGAGTTATAACCTTGAAATTACTGTGATTTGGTTAACAATGGCACAACTGTGGTGTTTCTACTCTCATTCACAAAACCCAAACTTGACCACATAAATCCTGTGGAAGGGAAGAGATTAGTATTTATTTTCATACAGTGATTAGCAGAGTGCTGTGTAAACCAGAGGTCGCTGCAGTGGTCTTCTCTTTTAATAGGCAATGTGTAGTAGATGGCAAAAACTTTGAAGGGTGGTCTGCTTTATTGTTTCATATTGATGAGTGGAATAATTTTTATTCTTCCTGGACTACTCATTTAGTGTGTTCCCTTTTGATACCTCATACTCATTAGAAGCACTTCCATATTTTCCATATGTTCTGGTGAGATTTGTTTATGGTTGCAAATGAGATATGAATAGTGGTCACTAAGGTAATAAACATGGTTGAGAACTACCTATTAATAAAGCTAACAACATGCCTAGAGAGGCATGAGGAGAAAAATCTAAAAACAGATCAGCTAGAGGAGAGACCCAGAAGAGTCAGTTTATCAGTGTTTAGTTGTTGATCTCTGCTTTCATTTTATTTTGTAACTACCATACTATGAGATACACCATTTTCTTGGCTATCTGAAAAGGTTTTTATGGATTTCAGACACATAATTAGCTTCAACTATATGTCCACTTAATTAGTGTCTGCAATAAAACCTTATTTAACTGTCACTGGTAATGACAACCCTCAAACTAGATTTTTTTCACACTGTTCTCTATCAGAAGAAAGAGGCAAAGTACTATGTAGCTTGAATAAATCAGAGATTAATTCCATGTCTAGCCCAGTTTCACATACTTTCTAAATCTAAAATGGAGGTCAGAAAACTTTTTATGTAAAAGACCAGTAAGTAAATCATTTTAGCTTTTTGGCCACATATAGTCTCTATCAGACATTCTTTGTATTTTTCAACCCTTTAAAAATGTAAAAACCATTCTTAGTTCATGGGCCACACCACAGGCTACTGGCCATTATTTTCTGATGCTTGATCTAGAGAATTGCAAACATTAGGATTTAATTTTATTCTAAGCCTGAGATACCAACCAATCTTGCATCATTTTCTAATGACAGCCAAATTCAGAATTATGATCCATATGTAAGTATATTTTCAAATAAAAATAAATGACCATGCTGCCTTAATTACAGAAATTTAATCGATTTTAGTGTATTTCTATCAACCAGAGAATTGACCTATACCAATTCTCCAAGCTCTTTTATTAACACATTTCTCTCTCATTATCTGTAGGGACTGGTAACCCACTGGGCATTCAACGTTGGCTCTTCATATGTGAGGGGCTCCTGTTGAATGAATGGAGTTGACCAAGCCCACAGATGCAGACCCTATGAAGGGCTGACTATAATAATTTTATTATATCTGAACTAGATATGACTGTTAGGTCTTTGGGAAAGTCATGATGTGTTTTCTATGTTTTTTAATGCAAAAATATGTCATAACTTTCCTGATGACCCAATATATTTTTGCTCTATTTAGTCATAATCCAATAGGCAGAGAAAAATAAGGCAGTAGTGGAAGTAGTAGTCAGCCTGGTTTAGGTGACTTGGTTCTTGTCACCAATCCCTCTTCATGATTTGGGGAGATATAATCTATCTCTGGGCCTAAATTCTTGATGTATCCTTGCAGGGACAAAATTCTATGGCTCTTTCTAATTTGTTGGACTGCTTGCTCATTTTGAAGTTTACATTTTAAGATAATACAGTTTTAAATGAACATATATTTTTTAAGAAAACTGGTAGCATTTTCCATCTCTTGGTGTATTTGGGATAAACAATGAAGCATAGCTTATAAAGTAATTTATTTTATGGTTAGGAGCATAAAGACTCATGAAAACTAAGAAACCTGAGCTCTTCTGATTCTGCCTGCCAGTTTTGCAGTGTGACCTTGATGAAATTACCTACCCTTTTTGAACCTCAGACTCCTCTCTCGTAATTCAAGGGTCTGCACAAAATGACTTGGTGTTCCTCTCAAGCACAGGTCTGTGGTTCTGTGGCTGACAGTAATTCATTCCTTTGTACTCTTCTTAGACTTCTTTCTATATTGTGTGTTGGGGAACAGGCACTATATTTATTTGCTTTCTTTATTCATATTTCACTGTAATATTTATGAATTTGGGTGGTGATGTTCAGTAATGGAAATTGTTAAAAGTTCTGTTTTCTTTGCATGCCAATGCTTAACGATATTTATTAGTGTAAGCCATACTATAAGGAACTCAAAGATAGTAATGTTAGTACTTGGGTCTTTGAGAGCACAATTTTTAAAATATCTTCTGAGTATTTTTTTTTCTGACTATAAAGTATAATCTACCTTATAAAATATTTTTGTAAATACAGAGAAGTATACAGTACAGATGTCTCAATTCTGTATAGAAAACCACAATTAAGAAATTACTATAAATCTTTCCTCATTTTTTTTGACAGTATAATTTTAGAGTATTAAAATGTGTTGGTTTGGTTTTGTTTTGTTTTGTTTTCCTTTCTTCCTCCCTATTTAATCTCTCTGCTTCCTTATTTTCTGGTCACATTCTTAAAACGTTTTTGCAACCACAGGTGCCCACATTCCTGGAACTGCCAATGTTGGGCTACAGAGGGTAGTAGTTGGAGCCAGGGCCTTGGAAAAGCACAGAAAGGTGGAACTCAGTAGGAGTGTAATACAGGGAGTTTAGGAAGCAGAGTCACAAGGAAAAATCTACCTCAAATAATGTTTGCAGAAGTGGAGAAAGGACTTGAAAACATCCACGTCCCGGTATCCCAATTCTGTTCTTGTTATTGCACAACGACTATAAAATAGTGAGCTTAATTTTTTTCTGTCTTGGCTGATAGAAACTGACACTAGTAGTACCTAATATTAGATTTAGCTTTCTTTAAAAATAATTCCAAAGTAATCATCAGAAAAAAAGAAAAGAAAAACCAGGCCGAACAAGATCAGCAAGATCAGATTCTCTTTCCCTCTTTATTATTTCAGACTTGAACCATTTGGTTCTCTAATCCTTTTTTAAACGATCTTCAATTTCCTTTTCTATAATTGGTTTGACCCTATATTCAGAACTACATTATGATTTTTGTGGGCCTTAGGCACTTTTGCCTTTTTGGACCCCTTCCATACAAAACTTAAAATTATATTTTATAATTGCATTTTTATAAGATGAATTTATTAATATTTTAGATTAAAACATTTCCTTTCATCTAAAAGTTCATTTTTTCCTTACGAAGTTAAAAGAATTAAATATTTCTATGGGCCTCTAAAAATATTGCAGGCCTGAGGCTCTGTGCTTAATGGATATGTTGTCCCTGTCTGTAATCTGAAGGATAGCAATGAAAAACCAGCTAACGGTACTTTCTCCTCTACTTCCACCACCAACACAAACCCTAATGTAGCCTTTGCCATCACATCTGAGAGCACTGTAATTCCCACTATTATGGCTATGGACTTGAACTTCATTCCTTCCTCACCTGACCAAAACTCAGGAGTGTTGCTTGGATTCATCCCTCCTCTAAAAAGATGAGAAGCACAGTTCAGTTTTAAACTTCAGGTAGATATTTTTGTTCTGCTTCTTAATCTATACTTTTGGAACTGGTACCACCCTTCAAAGAGAAATATTCTACTGCTTTTCCCTCGAATCCCTTCCTTCAGCCTCACTCCTACTTCTTACCTTTCAGCATAGAGGTGCAAGATCATTCATCTTGTTGTTTATTGAAAGCTAGGCCTGTACATTAGGCCCATCTATTTCCCTGAATGATCAGAAGCCACTGGCGTTTCCCTGAGTTCGTATTTCCATATTTCAGCTGTTTAATGCTGCCTAACTTTCTCCTTACATTCTTCCTAGGAGTATGCTGAGGTCTGTGCCATGTAGGCTGTATGCACAGTCAGAGCCTCTGCAACTCTGGTAGCAGAGCAGACTGGCTTCAACATGCCAGCACGAGCACACTTATGTGTACTTTACTGTGCTGGGTCCAGATGAGGTGAGTGGAGGGTCTGGAGGCAATGGTATACTCAGGATGCCCTAGGATTGATGTTCTGTCTTATGCTGACGAAGGGACCACATAACACCTGACCACCTGAATTATAACCACCATATGCAAGTCATCAACAGACATCTCATTGAAGAATTTCTCTGCAGAAATTAAATCAGGGTACCCCAATTTTTTTTTCAACTATACTTTTAGCTAGAGACTAAATCCAGAATCACGTATTAATGGCATTTAGGAAAACTTACTTTACTGAAGCACAAAGAAAAGGATATGCATTTTTTAATCATCTAGCTTATCAGAGTTAATGAAAAATTTTAACAAAGAAAATTGATCTGCACCTCTAGTTTACTAGTACTTTAATAGTTTTCTTACAAACTAGTGTATTTTGCAGTATTCCCAGAAAATCACTGTGGGAGAATAATGTAATATACTTTAGGTTATTCTTTGCTTACCTTCTTAAAAAATGATTTTATGTGTACTGTTTTCCCAAAATCTCTTTTCCTTTCTTTTTTTGTTTTTCATTTAGTGTATAATTGTGCTTTCTGATATTTTCTGAATGTGTCTTCTAAGCCACCTTACATCCTTCCTAGAACAAGGGACTGGGATAAGTATGTTGCCCCATACTTATGTTGCCATAGTTATGGGGAGAAAATAAAAATATCCCAGAGAAGCTGTGATTATGTCAAGGGTTCTATATGAAAATAAATTTGAGAATGTAAAATTAATTTTATTAATTATTTTTATTTTCTTCCTTTGGTGTTTATGAATGTTTTCATAAGGACTTTAATTTCAAGGGAAATGCCTGATTTGCTATCCTGAGATGTCTTAGTATAGTCTTTTAGGAATTAAGTCTTAAATTCATTTTTATAGATTGTATTTCTGTTTCATGAGATACCACAAAACAGTTGTTTAAATCTATGAATTAATTATAAAATAGTATTGAAATTCTAGCATGATTTAAATAGATAGGTCATATAGCTCTAAATGTGTGGATTTTACATGTAAATTATGTGTTGTATGTAAGTTTACTAACTAGTGCATGATTATTGATAAACTTGTTGCTGTTGTTTTTCCAAATGTTATCAGTTTGTGGACTTTTTTTATTAGTTTGAATTTTGGAATGTTCTGGAATAAAAAGATTTAAACTATTTTGTATATCTAAATCTAATGCCATATTGTATATATTAAAAATACTGTACATAGCAGTGTTTGTAGAATTATGAAAGAGTTTCCTCAAAAATGATTGAACTCTCTCCTTCCATACTTAATTGTGAAATATAAAATATCTGATTATAGGTGTTGAGATTTTATCTTGTAAAAATCAAAAGGAAACATGCTGAAGATTCCATATAAATAAAATTTTGAAACTAAAGTGATCATCTTGATTTCTTCTAAATTATTAGCAGTATATATTTGGAATTGCAAAAAAAAAATTGCATTAATTCAACTAACATTTGTTGGATTTTATTATGTTGAGCAGTATAGGAGACATAAGGAGGGTAAGTCTTGGTTTTGTCCCACAAGGCATCTATTACCCAGTGAGAAAACAGATAAGTCCTAACATGAATGGCTAAGATGCAAACTGAAATTGATAATAAGCGGCTTAGAGACTTCAAAGGTAACAGATGGTTAGACAAATGACAGAACATTCTTTGGAATGTGAGCAGTGAGATCAACTTCTTCAAAGAAATTGCCTGTCAGGATTTGGTTAGATGGCCTTTGAGGGGAAGATGTTCCAGAAAGAGCCGACCTTTAGCATGCGTGTAGGGGTACAGAAGAAGCATTATAGAGAATGGTGAGTCTTGGTCAGAGGATAGGGCATATGAAGATGTTAGTTATGAAAGCAACACATAGTCAGCAACATTAAGGCTATAGAAAGTATTAAATGAAAATCTCATCTTAAAATCTGTCTTAACTTGAGGCTAGCAGGTGGCGTGGTGGTTAAGGAGCTGGACTCCTACATGACTAACCACTGTTCAAGTCCTGGACTTGGCAGTTTGCTTCCTCTCTCTGTCTCTGTCTCTCTCTCTCTCTCAGTCTCGTGAGTGCAAATACCCTATAGCAAATTTTAAAATAACAATAGATACAATTAAATAATTCTTTTTAAAAATATGTCTTGACTCATTAACTGATCAATATCTTTCTAGTCTTTTTTCCCCTAGAATATACAAAACCTGTAAATATATAAAACAACAGAATCATACTGTATATCTTCAACTTCTATACTTCTCATTGAGGACATGTTTTCACATTGGCTCATAAAGATCTATTCATTCTTTGACACAGTATGTCGCATTCTACAAGTACAGAATTGTCATAGTTGATCTGATCAGTTTTTAGTTGAATTTGAAATTGTTCTTATTTTTATATGAAAAATAATTCTACTTTTTTCCCCACTCTTTTTTCTCAGAATCGATTTTTACGAGCTTAGTTGCTAAATGAATAGTTATGTATCATTTACATTTTGTTAGTATCTGCAGAAAAAAATTTAATAGTAGTACAGGTTTATGTTTATCTTGTTTATGCAACCAGTTTTAACTCAGGTAGCTAAGCAGTGATAATTTATGTGGCAAAGTGGGGGAGGTCTTCAAAAGTTCATGAAAATTTATATTATGAAAAAAAAAATGCACTGATTTCAAAACATTTTTTGTACCAAAGTAAACATGTACGTGCATTTCATTTTACAGTGAACTGTTTGAAGTCCACTTCTGCAATGAAATCCTGGGAGTTCTAATTCTGTGAGGCACTGATTTCACTGGAAGTTTATTCTTCTGTAGAGTTGTTATGGATTCTTGGTAATTAAGCATTTGAGTTAATTTTCTGATTGTGACCAGCATTATACTAAGACTGTGCTTCGAGGCCAGCATTGTTCCATAATTCTGTTTGTATTATGATGATTTTTCTTACTCTTGCTGATTTTCTTTTTCACTGAGTCTCAATTACTTTCCCATAGAAGGCTAACTTAAAGTAATTTCCATTTGCAGAGAGAGATAGCTAAATAGAATACTACTTGACTTTCAGTTTTTCCTGCTGTTAAAAAGACTTATCAGTTAACAAATCTAATTGCTGTTACTGCATGTGATCAATAATTCCCCTCCCATCCATCCTTTCCCCATTAACAAAATCACCTCAAAATACAGAAGAATAGAAAAGCTGTAGAAAACAAGCATCCACTTATTTTATCTAGATCAGTGATTACTGAACTCTGCTCCCATTCCAACACATCTGATAGAACTGGGCAGTGATTGTGACTTCTCTTTCTACTGATAACCAGAAGATTCTTTACATCAGATTCCTTTTGTATAATGAAAAAGTAAAGAAAATCTTTTGACAAGATTTCTTTCTTTCAGGATAGAACTATTTTCCTAAGCACAAAACAATGACTGGATTAATCTTTTCTACTTTCCCTCCTTCCCTTTCCTCCTCTTTTCCTGTACTCCTCACAGAATTTGTTTTTATATGAGGTCAGTTGAGAGATCAGTTAGTTTTCTTTTCTGCAGTGCCTTAAATTGGATTCCAGCACCATGAGGTGGGCTAGATTATGATAATTACAGCTAGCTGCTATAACCAACCAACCCTAATTTTCAGTGCCTTTGCTCATAGTAAACCCAAAACAGATATTCTGATTGGGTGACTCCTGGATGTCAAGTACCCAGGTTCCTTTCACTTAAGTGTCATCTATTTGAGGATAAGGTGAAAGAGGAAGCATGGAGGATCCATACACCTGACACTTCACTACTTTGGCTTGGGAGCCCATGTCGATTTTGCTCACAGTACTTTGGCAAGGACTAGTCATATGATCCCACCTGTATGCAATGCAAATGGGGCTGCTAAATGGAGTCCTGATGGAACAGCTGCTTTCTCAACAAAATTCTACACTAGAGAAGAGAACATGACTTCGTTAATTACTCACCATCTTGAGTACAGGAGACTTTTTTTTAATGTTATAAATTTATCTTTAAGTGGCCTTTAAACGACTGTGCTTAAGGATTCCAAGATTGTAAAGAAAAGATGATGTTGAGTTTCTCTGAAGCCAGGGCCCAACAATGAAAGAAAATGGATAACTTATCCCCTTCAAAATAATGTTAGAACTGGACAAGACCTTAGAAATGTACAGGCTTAGGTTTTGTTTTCCTTTTAGCTTGCTATAGGGTGTGGGTGCTCGCTGGCGAGAAAGTAAGAAAGCTCCCCTGGGGGGATGACTATGCCACAGACCCTTCTCCACTCTCCTCTCAGGGTTTTGGGCATGCACTTGTACGCCCAGCATGTTTTTCAAGCCCCCGGTCCCAGGACTTAAACCATGCCAACTGGTCGTATGACAAGGTTTTGTGACAAGATCCATATGGATGCAGCCACCTTAACCACCACACCACCTGGTTGTCCCAAGTATTGTATTTTAATATGAGGAAACAGGTCCATAGAAATGAAGTACCTTGCCCAAATTCACATAGCCAACTTGGTAGCATGGTCACCTCTAGAAAGACCCTACTTCTGCTACCCAAGTACAATTAAACCATCCTTTTGAGTGATGATTCTCAACTGAGTGACATGAAGAATTACTCTGAAGACTGTGCAGAGCAAACATTTAGTATAATTTGTTTTAATTTACAATGTGATTTTGTCTTTAAAACACCAGTATCTTTCTTATAAATGTCTAGAACATGACTTTTATGAAAAATTTGGCTATGGAATCATTATTAGAAGTGGTGTAATTAATGGGCTTTTTACTAGCATTATCTAAGATTAGCTTTATGAGCTTTAGCTAAGATTGATGAACCCCCCACATCTTCCATGTTCGCTTATATATCCACAAAGCCGTATTTGTTCTTCAGTCATAATGAAAATGTTAATGTCTGAAGCCACTAGAGGGTGCTCTGTCACAGTATATTAGTGTGACAAGCAGCCCTGTAAGGTTGGTTGGCCTAACAAAGTAAAAAAATTGCACATGTGATTGTATTTGTAAACATGGTATATTTCCTTTTCTAATTCCTTGACATTGTGTGTCCTCCTTGACATTGTGTGTCCTAGGGGCGAGTCTCCTTGTTCCATTGTCTCTCCAGTTTAACCAGCTTCACTTTTGAATGTATTTTATTTTAATAGCATCCACCCATTTATAGATACAGTTGTAAATGTTTTCATTTATTTATTTAATGAGTGAAAGAAAAAGCCAGCACAAGGGGTGGTGTAAAAGGGGGATAGGTATTCGTTGGGTTTTTTTTCTTAGGTT